TGCCAAACTACGTGTCTGGGCAGGGCAGCTGCACCAGCTCTGGAAGAAGCTGGGGAAGAAGGTATCAGCGTCCTGGGCCTGCCCAAGGCCTGGCCAAGGGAACTGGAGAGAGGAATGTGCCTGGGGCCCACAGTGTCTCCGGAGCACAGATCGGGCTTCTTTTTCTGAGAAACCAGTTCCTGACCCCTGGGTCCCCAAATAGAAGCCCTCTAGAAAGAACTTTTGAGATCAGAAGCATAGCATCTACTTCTAATGCCTCGCCTCCTCCAGGAAGGCTCCCCAGCCTCCCCAGGAAACCCCAGCCTGCCCTGCCACCTCCAGGCTGCCCAGTACTGGGTAGATGTTCACTGCCTGCTGGGCTGTCTCCTTCCCTGAGCTCCTTCTCAGGAGGCCTCCGTCTCGGGAAGAGTCAGTGCTACTGCTGCTTGGGGCCAGGCCCTGTGCTCAGCCCTGTCCTGAGCTACTTTGCTCATCTATATCCCCTCACCTGGGGAAAGGGTTTGGGGTTTTACCCCTACCTGGCTCAGAGAATGGGGGTGATGGGACAATCCTCTGAACCTGGTTGGGTGGTGGCAGCAAGGATGGGGAGTAGAGGGGAAATGGGGGGCTGGCACCCCCTTACCCACCCAGCCCACCCTGGGTCTTTGTAATGGCCACTGCTTGGTGGATATCTGCCCGGTGCCTGGCTGAGTGGTCGGGTCTTCTACCTGGCACCAAGTTGAGCCAGGACTCCCAAGGCCAGAAGGTGACAGATGAGGACCCCAGGGCTCCCAGCGGCCAGGCCTTTATCACATGGCTGAGCAGTAGGGGAGCCAGAGCTGAACCCAACTGCCTGGCTCCAAAGCCTGTGACTCCCGGGGCCTCAGATTCCCCAGCTGCCTGCGGCCTCTGCTTCCATGGGGATGCTAGGCTCCCCTTGCCCTCTCTCCTGATTCCAGATGAAGCCAGAGGTTCTCAGCCACCCTGAACGGTTCTCTCTCATCTACTCAGAACACCCCTTCATTGTGCCTGGCGGTCGCTTTGTGGAGTTCTACTACTGGTGAGCGCCCAGGCCTGAGAGACCAGGGGGCCTGCAGGACTGGCAGTGGTGCAGAAACCCAGGGCCAGCAGGGTGTCTTGAGCAGGGCAGAGTGCCCCACTGGCTGGTGTGCAAGGCAGAGGGAGACAGTAGGGTGGTGCCTAAGCTGCCCCTTCCCCAGGGACTCCTACTGGGTCATGGAGGGTCTGCTCCTCTCGGAGATGGCTGAGACGGTGAAGGGCATGCTGCAGAACTTCTTGGACCTGGTGAAAACGTGAGAGGGGGCCAGGCACTTCCAGCCTAGGTGGGGAGGATTGGCAGGTGTGCCATAGGCCTGGAGCTGGATTGCCTTGGTGCCAGTTGCTGGGGAGAAGGCATCTCAGCAGGCCTTCCTCTTGGCAGCTATGGGCATGTCCCCAATGGCGGGCGCGTGTACTACCTGCAGCGGAGCCAGCCCCCACTCTTGACCCTCATGATGGATTGCTACCTGACTCACACCAACGACACCACCTTCCTACAGTGGGTACCACCCTTCTTGTGCTGCTCTGCAGACCCACCCCCCACCTCAGACCTCTCAGGGCTGGGGATGGGCAGCGCGCCTGGGCTGAGGTGTTGTCTGCTTCACTCCAGGGAGAACATTGAGACGCTAGCCTTGGAATTGGACTTTTGGACCAAGAACAGGACTGTCTCTGTGAGCTTAGAGGGAAAGAACTACCTCCTGAATCGCTATTATGTCCCTTACGGGGGACCCAGGTGAGGAACTGCACAGCCCACCCCTCAATCTCTTACCTGCTCACTCTGGTTAGAGCATCACAATGCCCCGGGCAGGAGGAGGAGTGACTTAGCCTGACCTCTCAGATGGTGACACCGAGAGCCCTCTGCAATCCTGGGCTGTGGGGGCCCAAGGGCAGTTGGATCAAGACGGCTCAGCCTCCTCTTGACCACAGAGGGGCTTAGTAGCTACTAGTGCCGGGCTGCCCACCTCTCCTCTTTGCCAGGCCTGAGTCCTACAGCAAAGACGCAGAGTTGGCTGACACCTTGCCGGAAGGTGAGCAGCAGCAGGGTGAGGGAGGGCTGGGGGCAGGGCGGCTGAGCACCTCTGTGTCAGGCTCTGGTCTCCTGTCATTGGCTGCCTATCCTGCAGGCGGGACTGGCTGGGTTCCCTGCTGTGTCCTCACAGGAGACCGGGAGGCTCTGTGGGCTGAGCTCAAGGCTGGGGCCGAGTCTGGCTGGGACTTCTCGTCACGCTGGCTCATCGGAGGCCCAAACCCCAACTCGCTTAGTGGCATCCGAACCAGCAAACTGGTGCCTGTTGACCTGAATGCCTTCCTATGCCAAGCAGAGGAGCTGATGAGCAAATTCTATTCCAGGCTGGGTGAGCACCCCAGGAGGGAAGGGTAAGCAGGGAGTCTGGTTTCCTGCCTCAGACTTGGCAATAGAACTGGAAGTAGGACCCTGGGGTGACAGGCCTTCAGCAACCCAGCCTGTCGAGCCCCGCCCTAGTGGACGCCTGCACTCACATTTGTGTACCAGACAAGAGGACAAACGGAGCCCACCCTAATCCCCTCTTCCTCCCTTTCTTACTGTGAGGGTCTCTAGGGTCTGTGAGGGGAACCCTAGTCCACACATCCAAAATCCATCCACTCCCTCTCCTCAGACAGCTGTTCTTGACCCCCTGAGAGCTAGGGGAATCCACTCAGCCAATACCCTTGGGAGGATAGACCCTGGGACAGATCAGCTCCAGTGGTTCCCTGGGAGCAGTGTGGGGCCATATGCTCAGGAAATTCCAGGACCTAGAGACCAGAAGTGTGGTCGGTTCCAGGTCGGCACATCCCTTTGGTCATCAGGGTGTCTTAGCCCTTGCAGAGAAACACAAAGGGTGGAGGCCAAAGTAGAGCCACGAAGGGCTTGGGGCCCGCAGGCAGGGCGCTGGCTACTGGGTCTAAAAGCAGTACTACCCCAGGCAACGACTCCCAGGCCACAAAGTACAGAACCCTGCGGGCGCAGCGCTTGGCCGCACTGAATGCAGTCCTGTGGGATGAGGAGACCGGTGCCTGGTTCGACTACGACCTTGAGAACAAGAAGAAGAACCAAGAGTTTTACCCATCCAACCTCACTCCACTCTGGGCCGGGTGTTTCTCTGACCCTGGCGTGGCGGACAAGGCTCTGAAATACCTGGAGGTGAGGACACAGCAGGTGGCTCGGGTCCACTGCAGGCAGCACCGCCCCCTCCCGACCCTGAGCAGGACCTGCAGGGGAGGCCGCTTCCTCCGGCTGTGCCTCTTGTCCCAGCCTGTGGGTCCTGCGGAGCCACCGGGGGTCAGCTGTGAGCCAAGAAGAAAAGAGTCAAGAAGGGGACATCTGGCTTCCTGTGGGGCCCAGTATCCTGTCCTGGCTCCCAGTCCAGCCCCACTCACAGTCATGGGAATGTCTGGGACCTTCTAGGACAGCCGGATCCTGACTTACCAGTATGGAATCCCGACCTCTCTCCAGAAGACAGGCCAGCAGTGGGATTTCCCCAATGCCTGGGCCCCCCTGCAGGACCTGGTCATCAGAGGTAAGGAGGCAGGGCTGGCACAGCCAAGGGCCCTCCCCAGGGTGTAGAGGTGGGCCTCCCTGGTGCTGGGGAGGCGTTAACAAAAGATGCAGGCCCCGTGTCCTTTCTCTCACTCCTCTGCTCTCCTGGCCTCCACTCGGCAAACATTTATGTCCACCCGACCTGTCCAGTGCAATCAGTCCTGTTTGCCCTTCAAACCAGCGCCCTCGATTAAGGGCAGTTTGGCCCGTGGTCTCAGAAAGGAAGTCGTAGGACCCAGGCCTCTTTCCCTCCTTGGGGAGAGTAGGGTGCAGCCTCTGCTCTGTCTGGGATGGGAGACCTGGAGGTTGAGTCCTGCCTGCGATGGGGTCTAGGCCTGGCCAAGGCACCTTTACCTCGGGCCCAGGAAGTGGCTTTCCAGCTGGCTCAGAATTGGATCCGAACCAACTTTGATGTCTACTCGCAAAAGTCAGCCATGTATGAGAAGGTGAGCTGGCCTGAGCCCTCCCACCACCCCGAGGGCATCCCAGTGTTGAGGTGGGTCAGGCTTGGCAGCAGGGCCCAGGGCCGGCACAGCTGGGATGGTGGCGGCACCCAGTGGCCGCTCCTGGGCACTGCAGGGGCTGCTGGGCAGGCAGAGCAGCTTCTCCCCAAGGGCTCCGGTTGTTTGTTGTTCCTGGAGCTGGGGGCAGTGCCTGACCTACACCCCACCCGCTTGTCCCCAGTATGACATCAGCAACGGTGGACAGCCTGGTGGGGGAGGAGAGTATGAAGTTCAGGTGAGCAGGCCAGGGGTGGGCTGGCCAATGCCCTACAGGGAACTCCTGGGCTCTGCTGCCCACGACCCCCACCCAAGGCCTCAGTGTGCTCACCTGCATGTTGGCCCAGGGGACGAGCTGACTGGTGCTTCCTGTACTGCTGGGGTTAGGCAGGGCCAGTGCCCCTGGGGAGAGAACCCACAGCCCCCACCAAGGGTCTGGGGCTTCCCCAGAAACCGGGCCCCACTGCCCCGCCTCTCCCAGGAGGGCTTTGGCTGGACGAATGGCGTGGTCCTGATGCTGCTGGACCGCTATGGTGACCGGCTGACCTCAGGGGCCCAGCTGGCTTTCCTGGAGCCCCACTGCCTGGCGGCCACTCTTCTGCCCAGCCTCCTGTTCAGCCTCCTGTCACGGTGACAGCCCTCCCCTCTTCACCTGGCCCCAGCTCCTGTCCCATTAAACCTCTGCACCAGTTCCCATCTTCCCCTGCCTCTTCATGCCCTCCTACCTCCCAGCCTGTCCTCAGAGTGAAGTGGGGGGCAGGTTCATGACCTGGAGGTCATGGGTTAGGGCCTAGCTCCCTCCTGGAACCTTGAACAGGGTGGAAATCCTGCTCTAGGGGGAAAACCTATCCCTCCTACCCCAAGTGCCCCAGCGCCAAGTCCCACACCTCCGGCCTTCCACTCACTTCCGTAGTCCAAAGGCTTTATTGTTCTGCTGAAATGCTTACAAATACTGAAAACCCCCAGCCTGGGCCCACGCAACCAAGGGCTTAATGCTGGGAAGGAGAGAAGGGGAGGCGGGCTTTGTGTTAAGGCGTGAAGGGCGAGGCCGGACAGCTGGAGGCCTGGTCCTCCACTCTCCATTTCCATCGCCCTTTGGAGGCTGAAGGAAGGGCAGTGGCACCACAGGGCCCTTCCCCTCTGCTGCATCATCTCCTGCTCAGGCTTTCCCTCTAGGAGCATCGGAGGAATCCTCTTTCCCTGTCGGAAACTTGACCCTGTACAGAACTCAACTATAACCTTTCTAGCTTCCCCTCCCAACCGCATTGCTCCTCCTCTGTTCCCTAGATCCCCCGGCTTCATCCCTTCTGGCTCTAAGCAAGGCACCAGTGGAAGGGAGAGGGCTGGACTGGGGGGCTGGCAGGCTGTGCATAAGGGCTGAAGACACAGGCATGGGGCAGGGAACAGGTGTTCAGTCCCTTTCCCCTAGCATGAGATGCCCAGGGGCCTGGGCTGGAGAGATGATGGCACGTACCCTCAGATGGCCCATAGCTGAAGCAGTGGGCTGGGCCACAGAGCTGCAGCAATTAGTATGTAACCATGGCAATGAAGCAGTCGCTATGGTAACCATGGTGATGGGTCTGCAACTAGGGGATGGACCTGGGACCTCAAGGATGACACTTGAGATCTCTGGCCCTTGAGCAAGGTGATACAAAGGATATGGGAAAGGAGAACAATGGGGCAGAGTGGGGTTTGAGAAGTGGGAAGTGGGCTGCCTGAGCTATTACCCCACTCTGGATGTGGTTCTGCTCAGCCCCCAAAGCCCCTGGCAAAGGGGTCTGAGGCAGGAGGGGATCTTTGGCAGCTTATGGTACCATAATTTGTCTTTTAGAAAAGAGAAAACAGGCTGGGGAGAGCAGGTGTCAGGTCGGAGCTGAGGCCCTCTCTGTAACAGCTCCTCAGCCCTGGCTGGGCCCGGGGCAGGACCCTAAAGGGTTACTGCAAGTTCTGGGCTCCCAGGAGGCAGCAAAGCCACTTCCACTTTTCTTCTTCTGGCTGGTTCTTCAGGAGGCCAGAGCCCAGAAACTCACAGGACCAAGCTCTTTACAGAATATTAAAGTCTTCTTATACAAAAGCCTCAGTTGTGCTCTGCCAGGAGGCCCACAGCAGTTAGTTCATGAACTGAGTGTAGCCCTCAGCCCCTGTGACGATGACATCCATCCAGATGCGCATGGCCTCTGCAGATGGGGCCACCATGTAGTACAGCCGGTCATGGGTCTTCACGCAGAAGGTGAGGGCTGGGTTTGGGCTCTGCCAAGGGAAGAGAGGAAGGTCTAAGATGGGGCTCACCCATGCCCAGGAATAGTCTCACCTGCCTCCCTATCTGCCCTTTCCCCTCCCAGCCCCCAGAAAGCCCTGGAGCTTAGGACTGAGTCCTAAATAGGCCCAGAGCCTAGTCCCCACCAGTCCATGTGAGCCCCAGGCTGAAATGTTCCCTTCTCACACCACAGCAGTCCTGGGCTCTCTAAACTCCCTGGACCCTGACAGAGCTATACCCTGACAAGGGGGGCTCTGGTCCTTGACACCCCAAGTTCAAAAGTGAGTATCAAGAGGATCAGATACAAAGGGCTATTCCAGTGAGGACCAGAGTTTCCTCTCAGCAAAACATGGGCAGAGAGAAAAAGCTATAAGTAGGATGCTAGGCCCCGGGACCCCAGAGGAGCAGAGACCAGGACTGGGGTGGGCATCAGAGGGTTGGTGGCAGGGAGGCTGACTTGCATTAGGGAAGCAGGCCCCAGCCTCAGATATCTCCTGTGTATCAATTTCTCCCTATCAAATCTAGTCTCTGAGGGTCCCCTCCACCCCTTCCAGCCATCCCTTCTGTATCAGCCCCCCATGGGGAGATATCCTGCTGTCATTTCCAGGAGAGGAGGGAGGCAGCAAGGAGAGGGAGGCACCCAAGCCCAGAGGAGCTTCTTGCTCTTTGCAACCCGCTTTCTGCTCCTCTCTTGGGCCTGGGGGAAGTGAGGGGGGATGAAGGGGAGAGTCAAGGGTCAGGGATGAGTGAGGTACAGGAGGTGTTAATGTGCTGGTTACAGCTAAGTGGGGAGGGGTACCTCAGTCACCATAGTGAAGCGGAAAAACCTCTTCTGGGAAGGGGAGAGGGAGAAAGGAAGAGAAAGTTGACAAAGAGAACAAGGACTGGGTTGGAGCCTCTGTAGAGAGCAGGCTGGAGGCCTTTGCTCCCAGAGCCCCACCAGGCCACCCCTTCCCCATGGCTGTCCCTCTGGCCCCCCTCTGGTGCCCTCCACCCCTGACCTTGGCTGCACTGCGCAGGTGGTCGTAGTACACTTCCTCAATGGCCTGGAAATAGATGACTCCCTTCAGCTTCGTCTCATGCTTGTCTGCAAAGCAAGTAAGGGTGGGCTATGGAGCCAGTCACACTTCAGGTCTAGCTCCATTTATGTGGAGTTCCACCGCCTGAGCTTCCAAATCTGGGAAATGGGGTGAAGATCCCAGTCTCCCAAGACCCCCAAACAGAACCCAATACAGAATCCTAAAGATATGGATAGTGCTCAGCCTCATTCATAATCACAGAGAAATACAAATCAGAGCTTCACTGAGAGACCACTTCTCGCCTAACCCAATGACGAAAACATACAATAAATATACAGCACGCTTTTGGCAAGTCTATGGTGAAGGAGGTAGTCTAACGACAGGTGGGAGTATAAATTGGTAAAATCCTTATGAACGATTTGGCCATGTCTATCAAAATTAGAAAGGCATTTATCTTTTGATCCAATGCTTACATTTAGGAGAATTTCTCTTTTCACATATACAAAGTAACATATACAAGATTATTAAGTATAGTATTGTCTATAGTCACAGAAGATTGGAAACAACCAAAATATCAATCAAGTGGAGACTGGTTAATAAGTTAGTGTGTGCCACATCACAGAAGACTAAATACAGCTGTTAAGTAAAATGATATAGGCCAGGTATATACATATATATATTAACGCCTGTAATCCCAGCATTTTGGAAGGCCGAGGAGGGTGGATCACCTGAGTTCAGGAGTTCGAGACCAGCCTGGCCAACATGGTGAAACCCCCGTCTCTACTCAAAATGCAAAAATAAGCCAAGTGTGGTGGTGCATGCCTATAATCCCAGCTATTCGGGAGGCTGAGGCAGGAGAATCACTCGAACCCGGGAGGCGTAGGTTGCAGTGAACCGAGATCACACCACTGCACTCCAGCCTGGGCAAAAAGAGCAAACCTCTGTCGCAAAAAAAAAAAAAAAAAGAAAGAAAGAAATATCTGATACAGATACAGACTCAGAAATAAGCCTATAGTATATACCCAGATATAATATCTAGATATAGGGCCGGGCGCGGTGGCTCAAGCCTGTAATCCCAGCACTTTGGGAGGCCGAGACAGGCGGATCACAAGGTCAGGAGATCGAGACCATCCTGGCCAACACGGTGAAACCCCGTCTCTACTAAAAATACATAAAAAACTAGCCGGGCGAGGTGGCGGGCGCCTGTAGTCCCAGCTACTCGGGAGGCTGAGGCAGGAGAATGGCGTAAACCCGGGAGGCGGAGCTTGCAGTGAGCTGAGATCCGGCCACTGCACTCCAGCCTGGGCTACAGAGCGAGACTCCGTCTCAAAAAAAAAAAAAAAATCTAGATATAGATAAATTTGATATAGAATGATCTCTAAGACACATTAGGAGGTGAAAAAGGAATGTACTGTATGCCACCTTTTGTGCAAGAAAAAGTATTTGTTTATATTCTCCTACAGAAACTCTACAAAGGGCCGGGTGCGGTGGCTCAAGCCTGTAATCCCAGCACTTTGGGAGGCCGAGGCGGGCGGATCACGAGGTCAGGAGATCGAGACACTGGCTAACACAGTGAAACCCAGTCTCTACTAAAAATACAAGAAAATTAGCTGGGCGAGGTGGTGGGCGCCTGTAGTCCCAGCTACTCAGGAGGCTGAGGCAGGAGAACGGCATCAACCCCGGGGGGGCGGAGCTTGCAGTGAGCCGAGATCGCACCACTGCACTCCAGCCTAAGGCACAGAGCAAGACTCCGTCTCAAAAAAAAAAAAAAAAAAAAAGAAACTCTACAAGGATACACAAGAGATTAATGAAAGTAGTTACCTGTACTGGGTGGGGCATAATTCTCAATTTAAACCTTTTTATATATTTTTAATTTTTGAACTATATGAATGCGTTTACCTATTTTTTTTGAGACGGCGTTTCACTCTGTTGCCCAGACTGGAGTGCAGTGGCACGATCTCGGCTCACTGTAACCTCCGCCTTCCAGGTTCAAGCAGTTCTCTGACTCAGCCTCCTGAGTACCTGGGATTACAGGAGCCCGCCACCATGCCTGGCTAATTTTTTTACAGGCGTGAGCCACCGCGCCCGGCTACCTATTTTTTTTAAAAAAAGAGAGGAAGTAGCCGGGTGCGGTGGCTCAGGCCTGTAATCCCAGCATTTTGGGAGGCCGAGGCAGGTGGATCACCTGAGGTCGGGAGTTTGAGACAAGCCTGACCAACATGGAGAAACCCTATCTCTACTAAAAATACAAAATTAGCCAGGCATGGTGGCGGGCGCCTGTAATCCCAGCTACTCGGAAGGCTGAGGCAGGAGAATCACTTGAACCTGGGAGGCAGAGGTTGTGGTAAGCCGAGATCGCGCCACTGCACTCCAGCCTGGGCAACAAGAACAAAACTCCGTCTCAAAATAATAAAATAATAAATAAATAAATAAATAAAATAAAATAAAATAAAAAGAAAGGAAGCACACTCCCTTGATGTGTACAGAGCATTTAGCATATACATATAGCATATAGCCTCTGGAAGTCAGAGGTGGCAGGAAAGGGGCAAACTACCTGAGCAGAGGTGACCATTCAGTGAGAAGGGGCAGGATTCCTGTCAAGGGAAAGCACAGGGCCTGGGCCACCTTGTCTGTGGCACTGCTCAGATGCTACAGCTGATATCCTTAACAGTGAGCCTGAGTCCTACAGGAAAGGTCACGCCAATCACTAAACTCAATGGTGCCGGCTGGAAGTAAGCTCCTCCCCGAGTGCTCCTCCTCTCCCCAACCTCCGTGGCTTGGTAAAGGCAACTTACAGACTGGTGCCAACATGTCCCTCCAGCCTTGTATCACAACCTTCCCCTGCATGAGTCCCAAGTGAGAAGCTCAGGCTTCTCACTGTTCCCTTAGTAATACACTTTGTATGCTGGAACTGTCTCCTCCAGCCCATTTCCTTGGCAAACTCCTAAACAATCTTCAAGATCCATCGCAAAATGTCACCATGACAGTGCACAGTTGTGCTCTCCTGTGTTCCCACAGCACAGATGCCCCTCTGTATAGAACTGATGCTGCATCGGAATCCTCCTTTATCCATTCATGGTCTACCTCCCCCAACACAAACAACTATGTGCCTGGCACACAGTAGGTACTCAATGCTGAATGAATGAATCCTAGACACCGGGATTCAGAGAGAAGTCAGAGACCCTTCTCTTAGGAAACTACAATCTCACAGGGAGGAAAATACAGACACTCAGCTATGTAAATAGCTAGTAAAGGCATGGCTAGGAACTCCATGAGACCACCTACGCATCACAGGTTTTCATGAGTATTAAATGAAAGAACACATTTAAGGTATTCAGCACAGTGTGTGGCACATAACATGACACTGTTATTATATCATTACACTCCTGGATTGATGTCACATGGAAAAACAGATGCTGGATAATGCAGGGGTTCAGAGGAGGATGGGAATCACTCCTAGTAAGGTGGGGTCAGGAAAGGCTTCCAAGAGATAATATGTAATCTGGACTCCATGCAATGAGGGGGTTTCTATCGAGTTGGCAGGAAGAGGGCCCAAGCGGAATAGGCACGGCACCCAGGGCCCTTATCCAGGCCCATTTCTGACATTTCCTCCTTGGAAAAGGACCAGCCCTGCCTGGCTCTGGGCCTGCTCAGCCCTCCAGCCCCTGTTCTCTTTCATCCCTTCCTTCACAGGAAATAGTAACACACTCCTGCCTCCGCTTCCTTACCACCCACCTATCCTCAATCTTGTGCAATCTGGCTCCTGGCCCCATGCACAGCAGAAAGCCTTCTCTTGACAAGCTCCCATCCCTGAGTCTAACAGCCTTTGGGCCACATCTTTCTTGGCCTTTCTGCAGCATCCATCATCGCTGGTAACACCTCCTGCTTGTGAATGTCTGCTTCTTTGGCTGGCTTCCTTCCCTGTTTCTGCTCCCATTTCTATTCCTGCCATCTGAACTTGGTCTCCTTTTGTTTCACAAACGCTAACTAAGGCCACATATGCCAAGCACCAGCCCAGCACCTGGCATGTGGTTAGTGCTGGCTTCCTGTCTCCTGCCCCTTCTCCCTCTGCTGGTCTCTCCTCTTTCTCCTTCCCCACACAGGTAGGCCTGTCCCAGGGTTTGGCCCTCTCCCTCCCCTCTTCTCTGCTCTGAAGTCTGACTGCCCAGGTTCAGACTTATCTCTGTCTCTTAGGAGCTGTGGGACCTTGGGCAATTTACTTAACCTCTCTGAGCATCATTTTCCTTATCTGTAAAATGGCATAAAAATAGTGTTTCCCTATAGGATTATTTCAAAGATTAATGAGATGATACATTCAGAGTGCTTAGCATAGCACCTGGCTCATTCAAGTGCTTGATAAAGGTTATCTGCTATTACTATTATTCCACCTGATTTAACTATTACTCCACCTCTAATCCTGACCATCCTCCTAAACCTAGATGTCCCAGAGGCACCTCAATCTCAACATGCCTCAAATGGAACTCTTTTCCCCAGGCCTGTTTCTTCCTCTCCAAAGTCCCTAGTCCCTCTACCTTCCTGGCGCAGAGAGAAACATGGGACACCTGTGCTTCTGTCTCTCCTGCCTCCTCAAAACACCCAGGACCCAGGCTGGTCAGGGAAGGCTTCTTAGAGGAGCCAGCAGGTGATCAGGGACCAGGTTAGGGGGGAAATGGGCACTCCAGACCTGAGCATCTCTGGCACCAAACTCTGCAGCCCTTTCCCCTCTTCTGAGCTCCTAGCAGGATTGCTCTTCCCAGCTCTGTGGCTGGGTGAGGCTGTGTGACTGGCAGACAGCCCCACCTATGAATTGTGGACAAAAATGATGTGTGTCACTTCCCAGCTGAGACATTTAATACCAAGGCCAGGCTCACTTAAGCCTCTCTTTCCCTATGCCACTGTGGCCAGAAATGTTCCCAAAAGGCATGCTGAAGTAAAGACAACACTGATGCAGGGCAGAGCCCCCATCAACTCACGATGTGCAGTCCACATGTATCGGGCATAAGGAAACCTAGTACTTGTAAGTCACTAGGATTTTCCTTTTTAATATTTCTTTTTTTTTTTTTTTTGAGATGGCGTCTTGCTCTATCACCAGGCTAGAGTGCAGTGGCATGATCTCAGCTCACTGCAACCTCTACCTCCCGGGTTTAAGTGATTCTCCTGCCTCAGCCTCCTGAGTAGCTGGGACTACAGGCATGTGCCACCATGCTCAGCTAATTTTTGTATTTTTAGTAGAGACGGGGTTTCACCATGTTGGCCAGGATGGTCTCGATCTCTTGAGCATGTGATCTGCCCACTTCGGCCTCTCAAAAGTGCGGGGATTACAGGCATAAGCCACCATGCCCGGCCTTTTAATTAATTTTTTTGAGACAGAGTCTCACTCTGTTGTCCAGGCTGGAGTGCAGTGGTGCAATCTCGGCTCACTGCAACCTCTGTCTCTTGGCTTCAAGCAATTCTCGTGCTCAGCCTCCTGAGTAGCTGGGACTACAGGCGCATGCCACCATGCCCAGCTAATTTTTGTACTTTTAGTAGAGACAAGGTTTCACCATTTTGCCCAGGCTGGTCTCAATCTCCTAGCTTCAAGCTATTTGCCCGCCTTGGTCTCCCAAAATGCTGGGATCACAGGTGTGAGCCACTGCACCTGTACAGCCACTGGGATTTTATGACTTCTTGTTACTGCGGCATACCTTACCTTCTCCTGACTAGGGTATAACACAGCATCCCACGCTCCAAGTGGGAAAAGTACAAAGGGAGTTCCAGGGATGGGAAACTAGGCTAGAGGCTCGAACGGAGAGAGCTGACGGCGCAAGAGGGTCTAGTCGGCCTGTTCCTGGGCTATCTTGAGCACTCCTTGGCACTGTTCAACTGCTTGTCTTGGAGTCTTTGATGGAATCTGTCCAAGGGGGAGTTCCCAGCCCAACTCCGACCATAAGACCCCATGCTCCTGCAGAGCCTGGATGTCTCCTATCAGCATACCCATTGTGCATTGTTATAATTCTTGTCTGCTTCCCCGACTATAAGCTCCATGAGAGAGCTGTGGCCATCTTACTTATCACCAGAGCCTAGAACAGTGCCTGGAACTTATTAGATGCTTAGTAACATTGCTGAATGAAGCAATGAATGAATGAACACTAAATGGAGGTGAACCAGGTACATTGTGTACATTTCAGGGAAGGAGGGCAAGGCCCAGTCCAAGCCTCTGGTCCCCTACTTGGAAGCTTGGCCTCCTTCTAGAAGGCCAGCCATCCTGGGTAACAGAGCCCAGGGGTCCTGGCTGGCCCCCGGGACGGCCTTGTTGGAACTCACCCACATAATAGGAAAGGGTGCGCTTGAGCCGGTCGAAGACAAACCAGCGCTTCTTCCATGATTTAATCTTGCCGCCCATCTTGACTAAGTAGCCACGGCAGACCTGGTGGGAAGCAGGAGTAAGGAAGGACCCAAATGTGCAGCCCTTAAGCCTTAAGTGTGTGCCATCGCCTGTGCCTGTATTCATGGGGGACTGTCCCCAACATCTCTTCAGGCCAGCACACCAGGTCCTGGGACAGAGATCTGGTTAGATAAGGGTAGAGACTGACGCCACTATTCCAACGACCCAGGAGGTGCCTCTCACCATGGGGTCCTCCCTCTCCCCAGCACCCCAGGGCCACACACGCCTTGTACCTTGCTGCTGAGCACCACGTGCAGGCAGGTATCAACACCATGGCCTGATGACTCAATATGTGTCTTCAGGTCAAAGTCCTCCTTCCGGATTGGCAGGTAGCGGGTCAGGGGTCGTGCCTGGGAGCAAGAGGGAGGGTCAGGAGAGTCTCCTCTCTTCCCTCATTATTTCCCTGTCCAGGCCCCTTGGCTTCACTTCTAAACCCCAACAGCCTGACATCACCCATCCCCAACCCATGGTGGTCACTCTGGCTCCATAGGACTTATGGCAAAAGTGGGGACCTACCATGCCTACGTTGACTCTATCTAGGGCCAGGCAAACTGCGAAGTCACTCTGTGCCTCAGTTTTCCCACCTATGACCAAGACACGGCATCTTTGTCTTGCCCTGTCCCTCCTTTCCCTCCTGAGCCAAACAGAATAAAGCAAGAGGCCAGATAAGAACATGCTCTGGGAAGAAAAGCCCAATAAGAAATCTAGTCTCTGACTTCCCATGGGACCTTGTTTGGGTCACATCCCTTCTCTGGGCCTCAGTTTCCTTCCATGTAAAACACGGGCTTTGAACTAGGTAATTACTAAGATTTACTCTACCTCTGATACTAACTAGAATTTTCAGTCAGCTGGAATATTTTTCTACTCTTCCTTTCCTAGAAGAACATTAAAATGGCCAGGAAACATCACACATTATTTAAAGAAAAAACAAAACACACAACCCCACAGATAGCTGATTCTACCCATCTCCCACACCAGACACCAGTGGCCACTGCTGCAATGCCTGAGCCCCAGGATAGGGGCTAGAAGAGAGACTCCCAGAGCAGTCACTGACTGAAGCAGGAAAAGGAAACCAGGCATTTTACAAATATTCCAACCACAGGGGTAAAATTCACAGAGCTTCATTTTTTTTGTTGTTGTTTGTTTTTTTTTCCTGAGACAGAATTTCACTCCGTCATCCAGGTTGGAGTGCAGTGGCACGATCTCAGCTCACTGCAACCTTCATCTCCTGGATTCAAGCAATTCTTATGCCTCAGCCATCAGAGTAAGCTGGGATTACAGGTGTGTGATACCATGTCCAGCTAATTTTTGTATTTTTTGTAGTGATGGGGTTTCGCCATGTTGGCCAGGCTGGTCTCTGAACTCCTGGCCTCAAGGGATCTGTGTACCTTGGCCTCCCAAAGTGCTGGGATTACAGGTGTGAGCCACTGTGCCCAGCCCCTTCTCATTATTTCCCAAACCCAATCCAGTTGACCTATCCCTTAGAATTTATTTTGTTGCATTGTAGGAAATGAGGGAGCTGTGATCACTGCTTGGGAAAGATTCCACGGGACTCCCAACCTGGGGAAGCCTACAGAGACCTAATCAGAAGGGACAGCCTATCTAAGTCCTACAGATTCTCATGGGGGGTTGTAGGAGTCAGGATTTGGGACCAGAGACATGGGCAGATTTCCCAGCCCAAACCAATTTCTCCTTCTGCTTTCAATTGTTCTGCTCAAGTCTCCTGTTTAAGGAGAAAGGGTAGGGCTGGCTTTTGGGCAAGGAGGGATTTCTGTCCCGAAGAGAAACTAGTACAGTTCTGTCTTGGAGACGTAAACCAAAAGTCAGAGTGAGGTCATCCACTGATGATGGGGACTGGAGATGAAAGGTCCTGTAGGGTGTGGGGCAGCACACCCTGAAGTTCCACATGCAGGAAGGGCAGCAGGGGAAGCAGAAGGGAAGGTGCAATGCAGGCTCATGAAGCAGATCTGAAGCCCTGGAGAGGCCAAGGGGAGCCACTCTGATTCTTGACTACCAGCTCCCATCTCTGGGACACCTATCCAGACCCTTTTCTCTGACCCTGGATGTCTGCAAGGTGGCCTGTCACATCCTTACAACCCACTACCCCAGCACACACACACACATTTGAACAGTCCTGGTAGGTCTATGTTTTGGGGTCAATGAGTCCCAGGTAGAATTCTGCTTGTGTTAAGCCAACAGCAATCTTTTCTGGAGTAGAACAGGTCTTACAGCCCAACACAGAAACCCTGGGGTCTCCCCACTTCTCTACAGCCCTCACCGTCAAGCCAACCACTGTGCTCCACCGCCCATTCACCTGGGAAAATTGTTTCTCCCGCATCTTGACCTCCTTCTCCACCAGCTGCTGCCTCCGGGCACTCTCACTCTGTAGCCTCCGTTCTACCTGCTCACGCCTCCGCCGCTCCTCCTCCAGGGCCTGCCGCCGCAGCTCCATCTCCCGCTCCTGCCCCCAAAGCCAAGGGGTCAGCACCTATGGCCATCCTCTTCCCCCCACTGGCCCTCGTCACACCTGTGCAGGGCTGCAGGAGGCATCCACCTCAGGGTAGTCTGGCATGAGGAGGCATCATCTTCAAAGCCCACCCTCTCCAAGAGCCCTGGCTGGTTAAAGAGAAATGCTTTAAGCATGACTGTCCTGACTTCAAACCCTGGCCCTGCTACCACTATGGGCTCTGTGATCCTGATAAAATCATTTAAACTTTGTTTGTTTTTTTGTTTTGTTTTGTTTTGTTTTTGAGACGGAGTCTTGCTCTGTCACCCAGGCTGGAGTGCAGTGGCCGGATCTCAGCTCACTGCAAGCTCCGCCTCCCGGGTTCAGGCCATTCTCCTGCCTCAGCCTCCCCAGTAGCTGGGACTACAGGCGCCAGCCACCTCGCCCGGCTACTTTTTTTGTATTTTTTTTAGTAGAGACGGGGTTTCACCGTGTTAGCCAGGATGGTCTCGATCTCCCGACCTCGTGATCCGCCCGTCTCGGCCTCCCAAAGTGCTGGGATTACAGGCTTGAGCCACCGCGCCCGGCCTGTTTGTTTTTTTTGTTGGAGACTGAGTCTTACTCTGTCACCCAGGCTGGAGTGCAATGGCATGATCTCGGCTCACTGCAACCTCTGCCTCCCAGGTTCAAGTGATTCTCCTGCCTCAGCCTCCCAAGTAGCTGGGATTACAGGCACCTGCCACCACGCCCGGCTAACTTTTTTGTATTTTTAGTAGACAGAGTTTCACCAGGTTGGCCAGGCTAGTCTCAAACTCCTGACCTCAGGTGATCCGCCTGCCTTGGCCTCCCAAAGTGCTGGAATTACAGGCGTGAGCCACCGCACCCAGACATTTAAACTTTTTAAGCCTCAATTGCCTCATTTGTGAAATGAAGTTAAGAATACTCATTCAGCCAGGCGCGGTGGCTCACGCCTGTAATCCCAGCACTTTTGGAGGCCAACGTGGGCGGATCACGAGGTCAGGAGATTGAGACCATTCTGGCTAACACGGTGAAACCCCGTCTCTACTAAAAATGCAAAAAATTAGCTGGGCGTGGCGGCGGGCGCCTGTAGTCCCAGCTACTTGGGAGGCTGAGGCAGGAGAATGGCGTGAACCCGGGTGGCGGAGCTTGCAGTGAGCCGAGATCGCGCCACTGCACTCCAGCCTGGGCACTGAGCGAGACTCCGTCTCAAAAAAAAAAGAAAAAAAAAAAAAAGAATACCCATTCCTGGAATTATAGTGAAAATGAAATTAGATCATGTATATAAATGCCCATTACTGATTCCAGTAGGAAAGCACTCGAAAAATAAATGGGGCTCTGACAATTGTATCTGAATTCTCGGAACATGGGTTATCTAGATAACTTTTTTTGACAGCTAATATATAGTCCTTTCCCAATCACTAACTGAAGGCCTTTTGAAACTCCAAATTAGAAACATCTGCTATCGAACTTCAAACTTTATGGGCACAAAGTGACTACAGACTAAGGTCAGAACTGAACTTATAAAAGCCACTATAAAAGGATTTTAGAAGTCATTAAAACAAATAATTAAATACAGAGCATGTCAGTGATGCTTTATATGTCTTAATTACTAATAAAGACCTCCTATACCATTAACTCCCATTTACTATTTCTTCCCAGCTCAAAACTCAGCAGAATCTCCTTTCCCCACATTTGCCAGGAGATGCTTACACATTTGCCATACTTAGACATAAATAAGATAGGAGGCATTCTTTTCTGGCTGGTCCTCCATTCAAACTGTCAGTATCTGTTTTTTATTAAATCCCTCAAACTGCTGACCTTACTCTCTGTGTCCCACTCACATCTCAAACATGCACAGTGCCTCGAATGGTGGACACAGAACAGCTTCTGCAGATCCTTTATTTATTCTCCTTCCTAGGCACACATTTCATCAGCCGGCCTATGCCCAGGATAAACCACGGGTCCCTCTTTGCTGAATCCCAGCTCCATGTCCATGTGAAGGAGCTGTCAGCCCTCTCTGCTCCCAAGGCTCCCCAGCCAACACCTCTACTCTGACTTGGACATCTGCCTCCTCCTCTGGTCTATACTTCACCCACAGTTCCTGCCTTTCCTAACCAGTCCCAAGAGGAATGGCCTGCCATGCAGGTAGACAGGAATCAAAATTCCTGTAGTTGCCAAAAAGTCTACAGAAGTAAACATGCAAAAACTGGAAGTTTCCATACAAGAAATTATTGGTTGGAGAATGGTTACTGTGCTGCCTTCTCTGTTCCTAAGAGCCATGAAGTTGTAATCTCACCAAGGTTCCCTAAACCCGTTTGAGGAATACAACCTTTTAAAACATTTTCTACCCCAAGGGAATGTGGCAAGGCTAATATGGCTGGAAGGGCTTGAGGTGGAGCACAGGCCCTTGACAGGCAACAGGCAGCTCTGTGCCCCATCGCCTTCTGCCTCCCTGATCCAGGTCAGACTCACCCTCGACTCCATGAGCCGGTTCTTCTCTGCATGAGCCTCTTTCAGCATCTTCTCCATCTCCTCGATCTTCCCCATGTCCAGACCACTCGCACTGGGGAGAGAAGGGGAAGAGGAGGTGCATCAAGGAGCTGAGGCGGTGGCTGAAGGAGGCTGTGGGCCCAGGCGTGGGGGGTACCTGGACATGTTGTCAGGGGAGCAGGCCGAGTTGCCCCCAGTGGAGATGCTGGTCTCCATGCTGTCAGAGCTCTCCAGACTCAGTGTATCGTAGGCGTGCTCACCCTCCTCCCCACGCTCCCGCCCCGCAGGCAGGTGGTGTAGGATAGAGTGGTGCATGAGAGTGGGGAAGCCCGAGGGGCCCGCTGGGAAGGGGGCTGCCCCGTGCAGGGCATCCCACTGGCACTGTGCCTCAGCTGCCGCTTTCTGCTTCAGCTCAGCCAGTCGCCGCCGTTGCTCTTCAATCACCTGTTGTCCTGCAGGAGAGACAGATGGGAGTCACAGTGGGCTCCCCACCCAGCTAAGGAGCAGGCCAGTGGCAGCACCACACACAGAAGGAGGGGCAAGCAGGGAGAGGTTAACACAGAGCAGCCCCCTCTCCCCGCAGCTTCCCTAAGGCCCCTGCAGCTCCAGGCCTGGCTGCTCTGCCAATGCTTCAGTCGCCTGCACAACCGGCCACAGATGCAGAGTCTGGTCAGTGCTCTTTCGCATCCTGAGTCCACATAGGACACCAAACCTACCCAAATAGTGCCCGGACAGCATGACAGCCAGCTGGCTCCAGCTCACAACCAAGGCCTAAGTAGGTCTAGGCAGGATGCATGCACCCACCCTGCCTGCTGGAGAAGGAAGAAAGAAGAGATGGCGGAAACCCCATGAGCACCCAGAATGCCAATGCAGACCCCCCTGCGATGCAGAAGCAAAAGCAACAAACGCGGGAAAGAAGGCAGGGGAGACACGGTAGAGCACAGCTGAGGGCAGAAGAGAGGCCAGCTGGAGGGGTGAGGCCAGCAGACACCCCAACCCAGCTCAGCCTGGGACCCTGCCTGCAGGCAGTGGGGACCTGGGCAGGACACATCATGCTGATGCCAGGGCAGGGGCTGCCTGGCCAAAGCAATGCCCTCTGTGACCAACGTTCTACCTGCTGGGTCGTCGGTTGGGAGGGGCTCGGCGGGAAGCGACTCGACTGGCGTGGGGGACCCCGGGCAGAGGGTACGGTAGAGACACAGAGCGGGTAAGAGGAGAGAGAGGCACAGACATGGGCTTTCAAAACAACCAAATTGCACACAAGCAACAAGGACTCCTGGGTCCCCAGAGCCAATATCTCAGGCAACCATTTCTAGAAGTAATCAAATCCATCCCCTGCCTCCAGAGAGGGCAATGTCTAACCCGACTCAGGTCAACAAGCAGTTCCCTTATTGGCTAGGCTCTCTAGGAAAGATGTCACAGTCCCCTAGGCCCTTAGTCTCCGGCCCTGAAGGCTTTAGATAAATATCCAGGAAGCTCTTCTTTAGGTACCCACTCCTCTAAATCCTTTCTGCTCTGGCCTAGATCCCAATGAAAGGAAAAACATCCTGTGAAAGGTATGAACATAGAGGAAGCATGGCAACTATCCAGGGTCCCCTCAGAAGAGCAGGTGGGCTGGCGGGGCAGTCACTCACCCTTCTGTTGCAGAGCTAGCTGGCGCTTGGTCTCGATGTCCTGCAGCGTGGCTGCCAGGTTGCGAGGAAGGCTGCCCGTGCCATTCTGGGTGAGTAGAGCGCTCTGCAGAGGAATGGAGAGTTTGGACCTGGGCTCAGAAGGCCCTCACCCCCATTCCCAAGGCTTTTATGGGTGGTCTTGGCCTCTCCCCAGCATGGCAGTCTCCATCCCCTGCCACATGTGCAGCCCCACCCACTGTCCTCAGACCTTTGGGGAGGGGCTACGCCCCAGGGTAGCCACGCTGAGCTGGGAGGAGGAGGAGGAAGAGCCAGAGGAGGAGGGGAGGGGGCCGCTGCGGGTCCGGGGAAGGGGGCTAGTGGCCTCGCCATCCATCTTGGAGCGGTAAACCTGGAAAGAAAAGATAGTGCCCAGTGACTTCTGGCTCCCCCATTGGCCACCTCCCCCATGTCACCTAGTCTGGCTGTGATCTGACGTATTACTCTGGCACTAGGCCTCAGGCCTTCTGGTTCTGACAGCAAGCCTCCTGAGCCAGCCCAATGGCCAGATGCTATTGGCAGCTGCCAATTCTCCTTTCCATGCTGTTCCTCCCTGGGCCAATCCCTAGCCCAACCCTGGGTCTAAGAAAAGACCTGTAAACAGACCCATGCAAGGATTTAATGTCAGTCAGGCAGGGTTGTGCAGGAGACCAACTAGAAACTGGGTTCCCTCTGGTCCTAGCTCGGTCACACACCTCCCTACTCTGGGCCTTGGCTTCCTTCTCTGCAAAAGAAGAGGGTAGGACTAGACTAAATAATGGCCAAGCTCCCCTACAGCACTAGCATGTGGTAAATATGGCCCTTAGCGTCACAAACCCTGACTTGGCATAAGCTCTGCTACTTCTTAGCTGTGTGGCCTTGGAAAGATTACTTATCTTCTCCATGCTCCAGTGTTTCACCTATAAAATGAGTTAACTTCATCTACCTCAAAGGCCTATGGTGATGATTAAGAGAATCAAAACATGTTAAAGTCTCTAACCAGCTGGGTACACAGTAGAAGTCTTATATGATCAAACTCCTCCCCAAGGAAACATGAAATTTTAGCTGAGGTCACAGTCTTACAGATGCAGTGCCTTCACTCAACGGATGATCTTAAATGGTCAATGTCAGGCACTGCAGCAGGTCAGTGGAGGAAACCTAAGGAGAAGACTAGCCCAGCTCCCTTTCCCACCCCATGGTCAGTTGCTTGCTGCAGGTTCAGGTAGGCCCACGCCCTCCATGGCAACTCTGAGGAGGCTTGGGCTCTCACTTCAGAGTCTTTGCCCCTTGTTTTCTGCTTCCAAGTGTCACTGCTGGAGAAACCAGGAGAACAAGCAGAGAAACCAGGAGAACAGCAGTTCTCCCAGGACACACTAGTTCCAGTTGCCACAGGCCCAAGAGCCTGTCAGGCCCCCAGACTGGGTGAGAAGCTCTGGGTGTTGGGAGCTGCCAAGCATAGGCCAGACCCACAGCCTAGCTCAGCACAGGGCACTGAACAGATCCCAACCTGACCACAGCTCCAGAATCCCCTTCCACCAGACACTCAATCAGACAGTTTTAGACTATGGAGGCTGGCCCTCTGGTTGCCCAAATGCTAGGATAGCTGCCCAAGGAGTGACTTTCTCAGGGCCCAGAGGTGCCCTCATTGCCCTGACTGGGCTGACACCTCCACTCAAGGTGGTACTGTGTGGCTGATGGATTGGCAGGAGGTATCAGAGTGGACAGGTGCAAAGGCTGGGGAGGATGGGCAGTGAAGGAGGGGTTACCTGCAGCTGACGGGAAGCTTTGGCGGGCAGAGGCGGGGGAGAAGAGTGAGGGGAGGCTGCAGTGGGGCCAGTCCCCAGCCCGGCCATCAGCTCCTGGTACCACTGCTCTAAGTCTACAGCAGGGAGCAGCAGCTTCTCCATCTGAAGGTGGGAATGGGGAGGGGAAAAGGGGACAGGAGGGGAAGGATGGAGAGGAAAGGCCAGGAAATAAAGGGAAAGGAAAAGGCAGGAGAAGGGAGAAAGAAGAAAGAAGAGGAAGAAGGAGGGGAAAGGTTAAAGGAAGGCCATATCAGGGAAATGGACAGGAAGGTGAAGGAAGAAGGGGAGGAAGGAAGGGAGAAAGGAGAGCATCAAGAAAAAGAAGAGAAAAACAGTGAGACAACAGTTGCCCTGAATGTACTAAGGGCAAAGAGAAACAGTCAGGGTACAACTTCCAGACCACAGACATGTGCTACACCAGCCATGAAACCAGCCACCAGACAGAGCCTGCAGGCACTGGGCACTCCCCTTGGGCTGGCCCAGAGCCAGGAGGCCAGGTGAGCAGGAGCAAAACACACACGGAGCACACCAGTCCTGGGTGGGGGTAGCAAGAACTCACAGACCACCAACCTTGGGTGAAGGCGTGATGGAAGCAAACGAGGAGGAGGGCAGCATGGGAGGAAGGCAGGTGGTGGGAACCAGGTCCCGGGAGGCGGAGGCCCAGGGAGAAAGGCCTGGCACAGGGGCTGGGGGCATGGGCGAGGTGTCCCGCATCACCTTTAGCTGCTCAAGCATCACGTACTTGGGGCAAGGCCAGATGCAGGAGGGAATATAAGAGGTTAATGGAGCTAGAATACATAAGATGGCCCTACCCACAGGGGAAGAGAGGGAAAGGACAGGAAGTACAGAGCCTGCAGCCTAGGAAAACCAGAGTCCTCTCAACTCGATGCCCTCATCCTAGAGCAGAAGGCCTGCCCCTTCCCAGGCCACAGGAGCTGAAGAAAGCTCCCAAGGCCCCAGGGAAGAAAAGAAACCACTCCCAACCTCCCCTTATACAGGCTGCCCTTCTCCCTCTCTGTCGAACACAGATCCTTCTGTCCCCCCAGCTCCACCCAGGCCCAAGGGGGAATCTAGGCCATCCATAAAGAGGTCCTTGGGCATTGGTGGGCACCCTCAGTGGCTGGTACCTCACTGTCAGGCAGGGGCTGGGCGAGCACACTGAGGGGGGTGGCAGAAGCATAGGGGTCCAAGCGGGAACACAGCTGGAAAACTTCTGCCAGGGTCACATATTCCTGGGGTGCCCAGTGGAAGGGGTAGGGGTGGGCAAAGAAAGGGGTTAACAGGGTTCAACAAGGTGCCCAACACCCCAAACTCCATGCAGGCCACAGGGCCATCACTCCAGGTCAATACAAACTCCAAGGCAGGGGTAGGGTGCCTGCTATGCCCATAGATGGCTGCAAGGAGTGACAGAGACCAGAAAAGGGCAGCAGAACCAACAGTCTGAAGGCTCCTCCTGCCCCTCCACTCTTGGAGCCACCTTGGCATCCAGTCCTGCCCCAAGCAGACCCTGAAGGCCCATACCTGAATTCACCCTGGGCTGGGGACAGGCAAAAAAGCCCACAGAAGGCCTTCTAAGAGTACACTGAGGATCAGAACCCAGCTCCCAGAGAACCCCCATCCCCAACAACCTGGCAGTCCCCAGTGGAGCACACACATGCAGCATTGGGCACCAGTCACACCATTCCCCAGGGTCCCCTCACACCCCATCAGCCCGGGCAGGAGCTAGAAACAGGTGGGGAAAGGTAGAGACATCACCAGGGCCTGAGCAAGATGGGCTGTGAGAAAGAGGCCTTAGCAAGGAACAGCTAAAAGCCTAGCAGAAAAATGGGCCTACTGCCCAAGGTGAGTCCTTGGAAAGATGCCAACACATTCAACTGTGGGTTGGCAGAACAGGGACTGTCGTATTCATCACCTGTCCTTAGAAACTGAGCTTATCTGGGTGCTGGGAGCATGGTAGACTTCCACAATGCATGCTGAATCAAAGCGCAGGATCATAAGCCTGCCCTACCCAAGGCCCACCCAGGCCTAGCTCTAGAACCAGGTTGTCCTCTGGGGTCATGGAAAAGAAAAATGAGCCAGAGGGTCCAGCATGTTGTGAGAACTGATGAATGGCAAGCAGAATATAGGCAAATTAATATGCAATTCAATGGGTTGCCCAGGCACTCCATGGAATGGCGGCATGGCACACTCACACACTCTCCCAAACTCTGGCCAGCCAAGAAACTATCACCACATGCCCTTCAGCTAAGCCCTGGGAGGAGCTGTAGGCAGGGGCTCAGCGGGCAGGCAGGCAGGCAGTGGGCAAAGCAGAGCACGCAGTTAGCTGTGATTACCTCTTGTGCTTTGGGGCAGAGAAGAGTGGAAGCAGGTGGGGTTAAAGAGACAGAGGAGGCCCCAGCCTGAGAAGACCCTGGGAAAAGGCCCAGAGCCTTAGTCCCCAGCCCCATCTCTGAGGACTCGGAGATGAGCAGCTCCGCCTACAGAAAGGGGACATGGTGAGGGGCTGCATCCCTCACACTTGGCCCAGTTCCCCACCCCAGGCCTAAATTATTTGTGTAGTGAGGCAGGGAGGGAGGGAACGAAGTTGGTAAACCAGATATGTTCTATTTGGAACTCACACACCAGACATACAGACTTGGGAAGAACCACTTAAGGGGCCTCAATATCCTCTTCTGAGACAAACGCCTAACTCAGGACTGAAGCCCAGGAGCCCCAGGATCAGCACTCCTATATCCACATGCTCCCCTTCAAGGTGAGTCCATCCAGCCCAGCCCCTACTAAGCCTCTGAGCTGTCTACCCACCCAACCCAGGCCCCTGAGTCCCCCTACATATATTCAGCCACCAAAAACAGGGAAATCAGTGGGCTCCTGGGAACTCCAAAGGCAACTAAACAGAGGCAGCTGGTGGCCATGGAAGATCAAATCCCAGAGCTTGGGGCCATTCCTCCTCAAATCTCTCCCATTCAGGGAGATGCCCCCATACAACCTCAGCCACTGGGGTGAAAGTGCTGTGTGTTACTCAGAGCCTCCCAGGACACCCCCTGGGCCTGAAGCTGGGGCTAACCCAATCATGATACCTCTTTGAGGGTCGATGTAGTCTTCGGGAAAGGCCTGCCCCCCGTGAGTGAGTGGTATCTCCTTTCCAGCACAGTCAGTTTCTCCTTCTCCTGCAAGCCCAGAATGGCAGAGAGTCAAAGAGGAGTGGGAGCCAGGAGATTGTGTGACAGAAGCCCTGTGCTCCACCCCAGCACGTTTGCACCCCAGCCCTTCTGCACTCCCCTCCCATTTACCCTACTCAAAATCCCCCAGCCCAACCTGAGGGACCCTACCTTTTGCAGCAGCTGTAAGGAGGCATTCTTGTCCCGGGCCAGGCGTTCTGACTCTTGCACGGCCTGAGCCCGGATCTGCCCAGCCTGACTGTCCAGGACGGCCAGGCGCTCCTAAAGGAGATGGGGTGGTTGATCAGGCCCTGGGGAGACAGGGCTGAGCTCAAGGTGAGAACTAGCTGGCTCTCCTGCCCAGAGACTCAAGGCTCAGGTGAAGGGGATCAACCAGCTCTTCTGCTTGGCCTCAACTCACCCTAAGAAAACACAGGCTGCCATGTGGGCTCCTTCCCTCAGGCCTTCCTCCCTCCCTAGACCAACGACCCCTGTGCCATTAGGCACACCACTCAGATCCTCTAACCTCCCTTCCCTTACCCCACAACCAATGGGTCCCAAAGCCTAGAGACACTCCATCTGCCTCATTCTCCCTGTCCCAACCCCACTTGCCACCACTCAAATCCAGGCTCTCTGCTTCCCTGGTCTGGACCTTCTCACCAGCCTCTGCTTCCACTCTCTCAACTTCCTGATTCACTCCACACTGTCACAAATGTCTTCCTAAGATGACTTTGAGGTTTGTTTGCTTATCTGAATTTTCTAATCTTTCTAAAAAGAAAAATTACTTTCTAAAAAGGAATATTACTTGAATAATTTTTTAAAAATCCACAAATAAGGTCAGATCATGCCTCTCCTCAAAATCTTTCAGTGGCTCCTCATTACACACAGAATAAAGCACAGACTCCTTACCAGGCATTCGGGGCTCCCAAACCCTTTGCAGCTCCCCTCCCTCCTACCGCCTCCATGTCCTCTCAGCTCAGTCACACTGTACACTCAGCTGTGTAGCTGTAAACTCTCAGGCCTTTCTTATGTCACTTCCTTAGGCCAGAAGAGCTGTCCCAATCTTCTCTACCTATCAAGAGCTTACTTATCATCTAAGATTAGACCAAATGCTACCTCCTCTCCAAAGCCTCCCTTGATTGCCACTCAATTTCTTTGCTCCTTCCTCTGTGCTCACATTCTTCTGTATCACCATCTGCCTCTATTATTGTTATTTGTGAATATATCTGTTACCACTACCACCACCCTGCCCCAAACATAAGATCCACATTGTCTTCTCTGTCTTTATACCCTCAATAGGGCTCTTAGAACAGTACCTGGCTCAACAATCATGTGCTAAAAGGAAATGAAAATAAGGGGGAAGGATGAGGGATAGGAAAAATGGGCTGGGTTAATCCCAGGAGGGCTTCTTGAAGAAGGCAGCCTTAAACCACCACCCTTAGGAGCAAATCATGGGAAAGGAAGAGTTAAAGAAGGATGATGTCCTAAATCTGGGGTCAGTCCAAAAGAAGACCAAAGTAGGCTGGTCGGGTGTGGTGGCTCACGCCTGTCATCTTAGCACTTTGGGAGGCTGAGGAGGCTGGATCACCTGAGGTTAGGAGTTTGAGACCAGCCTGGCCAACATGGTGAAATCCCATCTCTACCAAAAATACAAAAATTAGCCAGGTGTGGTGGGGGGCACCTGTAATCCTGGCTACTTGAGAGGCTGAGGCAGGAGAATCGCTTGAACCTGGGAGGTGGAGGTTGCAGTAAGCTGAGATCATACCATTGCACTCTGGCCTGGGTGACAACAGCGAGACTCTGTCTCAAAATCAACAACAACAACAAAGTAGGCTAGGCAGTAATCCTCACTGCAAGAGCCGCCATCTACTAAGAACCCATTAGCAGCCAGGAACTCTGCTAAATGTTTTGCATTTGTTATGTCATTTAATAAGCTCCCTTATGAGGCAGCTGCATTTATATCCATTTTATAGGTGAGAACACCAACATATTTAGAAGCTAAGATCTCTTAGCCAGCTAAGTGGTAGAGCAAGGACTAGAATCATCTATTGAACTCCCAGGCCAGTACTCTGAGCCACTCTGAATCAGAGTGGAAAGGGCAGGGGAGCACAGGGCACCAGGGTAGACAGAGCCTAGGGTGGGACACTAGGGTCTGAGAATGAAAGCTGGATAAGGTTCCTAAGGAGAAGCATGGGGAAGAATGTGATACCCCAGGTCCCAGGGGTTGAGCTCCGGTTTCCCAGGAGCCAGAGTGGGTGTGGGAAGAGGAATCCACTACTGCCAAGCCCTCCCAAACTTCCTGGAGCTTATACTCACCAGAATCCCAAAGGGATGAGATTAGCTGATCTACAGCTCCCTACCTCCAGGAAGAAGGAGGAAGAGGCTAGAGAAGTGCCCACCCCTACCCTCAGTGCAGTACAGTAGAAGGAACATGGGATTTGGGCCAACAGGCCTGCGTTCCAATTCTGACTCTGAAGCTTATATTATGGGAGGCTTTGGGCAAAATGTGTAGCTTCTCCTACTCCTAGTTTCCTTGTCTATAAAATGGGGATAATAGCACTTCTCTTGTGATACCATCCTAAGGACAGCATGAGGTAATCCAAGGAAGGCTCCCAGCAAGGTGCCTGACACACACTCATGTGCTTAGGTGTGTCAATTTTCTTCCTTCCATTCATCAGTCAGTGCATTTGTAAGACAGCAGCTCAGGGAGAGAAGCATGGGATCTGGACTCAAGGAAAGTCCAGCAGCTCCCCACTTACCACCAACCCCAGGCTAGCCAGCAAATCTTCTAAGTCGCCAATTTTAGACACCCCTCCCCAATCTCACCATGCTCACTTCCTCCACACTAACTCCAGTCAGGCATAATGTACATGCATGTGTGCATGTGCCTGGCCACAAGCTTCAGCCATAATGGTGGAAACTGCTTGAGCCATCCTCTCCAGTCCCTCTCTCACCTCTTCCCAACCCTTACTAACACATACCTCCTCCCAGCTTTACTCCCCACCCTCACACACAGGCACCTGCGCCACCATCCTGCGGTCTGGCTGAGATCAGGAGCAGACAGTCACAGTAGCTAGCGTGTCAGAGCCAACCAGGCCACAATACGCAATAACCCTTGTTTTACAGCTCGGCCAAGGCAGGACGGAGCCATGGCTGGAACCCAAATGAATGCCCTTTCTAGGGCCCCTAGCTGGCTCTAATATCCAGATCTCAAATCTTTCTGTGTGTCCCAGCACTTCCACCAGACAAGAGCTCTGCACGCACGGGGCAAACCTCTCCCTCCTTCATCTTTCACCTTCCTGACAGGCCAGTGCCAAGCTCTGAATAGGAGCAGAATCCACTTTCCACTGGAAGACCGAGGGGAGTCACAGCTTAATAATAATAGCTATTCTTCACCGAGTGCTTACTACAATCACATCTTATTCTGTCTTTACATCTTGTTTAATTCTCATAACAACCTGTTATAATTCTCATTTTACAGACGAGGAAACCCAGGCACAACAGGGGAAGTTAACTTTTGTGAAGTCATTGGGATTCAAACCCAGGTCACAGGCCTCCAACAGCACGCAGCAGGGAACGGGGTGGGGCACACCTTCCTCTTGGTGATGCTGCGGAGCAGCTCAGCCTTGCTCCGGAGCAGCCCCTGACCGGCCAGCTCACGCTCCTCCTCCACGCGGCTCTCCCGCTCCAACTGCTGGAACTCCAAGTCCTCAAAGAGCTTTGTCTCAGTCTCCAGGGCCTCTGCCTCCTTCAACGACAGTGACAAAGGGGGTTGGGTGGTGCTTGCAATGCCACTCTGCACCTGGAAGGCCAGGCCACAGGGGCATGCGTTGTATGGGGCTGGACCCGGGGAAATTGGGTAGGAAACCTGCCTTCACCCAGCTCCCGCTGTACTTGGCCTTGCCCTTTCGCGGGCATCATGGCCTGGAGCGCTGACCCCCCAACCTTCCCGGTTCCCTCCAAGCCACAGCACCGACCCTGGTGTCCGGCAGGTACTGCAGGGGCCAGGTGGTCCCGTCCCACCGCTCTCCTCTCTTCCTTCTGGGGCGTGGCCCGCGGGGGCCGGGGGACGGGGGGCGGTGGAACTGACCCTTCTCAGCTGCTCCTGTAACTGTTCCCGCACTGACTCGGGGCAGTTATCGAGCTGCGTCTGGAGCTCGGCGTAGAGCGCCTGGCGGGCCTCCAGGTGCCTCCGTCCCGCGGCCAGCTCCGCCCTCTCCTGGTCGGCGGGAGGGCAAGGGAGAGGGCGGGGCACAGGGGAGAAACAGAACACACACTCCTCAACTCCGGCCCGGCAGCGGCGGGAGGGGAGCGCGGGAGGGAGGCCAGGGCGGGACAGAATGGGGGTCGGCAATGGGGGTTGAGAGAAGAAAAAAGGCTGGAATCAAAGAGGAGAATAACCAGGTGAGGAGAAGAAAAGAGTAGAAAGGGAAAGTGAGGAGGGAAAGAGGTGAAGAGGCAGAGGGCCCGAGGCCAGCAGCTGGAGGGTAACACAGCAGTCAGAGGTGCAGGGGGTGGGGTAACACAGGCAGAGGTGTGGGGGCAGGGCACAGATTTTGGTCTCCTGGGGTCCCTTAAACTGAAATTGTTGGGTAGGTCCTGAGAAAAGGCCCTCTGTTTTCTCTCCAAACCAGTCAAGGCTGGTTCCGCATCACAGAATCGGAGCCTCCAGTTCTCATCCCTCCCCTTCTACCACAGCCCAGAGACCAAAATTTAACCCAGGGTAAAAAGTGATGGTGAAGGTTAAATCCAGGGTTGGGCGTGAATCAGGAGCTGAGGATGTTAAAGCAGTGTGGCAGAGGGGACCCCAGCCCAACACCCTTGGCCTCCCTCCCCTCCTACCCAGGGTCAGGGTGGGGTGTTGGCCCTGCAGGCTGAACTTCAGGGATAAGGGTTGCAATTAGTTCCGGCCGTTGTCATGGTAGTAAGAGTCCCAGGAGTGGGTACAGAGGGGGTGGACTGTTCTGTCTGGGGTGAGATGACACCTCTGAGGGCGGGAAGGGGGATGAGGGGAGGGTTTGGTGAGTCACCCCTCAAAGGACAGGCAGAGGAGAAACTGTGATTACTGATTCCAAAGTCAGAGTGGAGCCATGGGCTGGGGGCAGGGGAGGGAAGCCGAGTGAACCCTCCACACCACTGCCATCACTACCACCATCACCACCACCACCGTCACTACCACAGCCTCAAATAACTTCTTTCTTCCCCACAGAGAAAGTGAAATCCAGGCCTCCAAAACACTCCAGGTCAGCGGGAAACGAGATTAGGCAGGTTCCTTCTGAAATGCTGAGCTTTATCCCTGGGAGTGAGGCCCTGTGCTGAACCCAGTCACTCCCACCCCTCTACCCAACTCATCTACCCATCCCCAGAGAGGAGGACCTGATCAGGCCAGTTGCTGAGGTTTAGGTGCTTCCTCAGCCTTGGACTCAGGCTGTAAAATACCCTGTGTTATAGGTGGCTCGGGGTGAGGGCAAGAGTAGGGGCTACCCATTACCAACCTCTGATGGGTATCTGAATTTAGGAAGCCCCAGGGGAAAGCTAGGAAGGGTAGCCACTGTGTTGGCAGAGAAGTCCTGTTCAAGCCCTCCAGGACCATGCCCACAACTGGGCCTCCTTGCTCCTTGGCTCCAGAAGGCAGGCAAGGGAATAGGTGGAAGACAGCCTGGTCTGCTGTACAGGAAGCTGCCAGGAAGTTTCCTTGAGTTATCTCATGCTGTCCTCAGACAGTAGCCTAAGACAGCAGCCTAGGCTTTCCAATGGGAAGAACTTCAGTCTGAGCAGCTCCACAGCCAAGCATTTCCCCCACCCTTATACCCCTCCTGCCAATGCCCCCTTGAGTAAAGTTGAGCTACCAGTCCTCCTGCCAATTCCTTTCATATCAAAACTCTGGGGTCCCACACCAAGAAAAGAAGGAGGCAGCATTAGAGGGGAGAGGCCAGGGGCACGGAGGCACCCATTGAGTTAGTGCAAAAGCGGGCATGGCTCAGCCCTACCTGGGTGGCACTGGCAGTTAGGGGCATGCGGAAAGCCCAGGTCAGTGATTAGAAGGGGCGTTAGTGTAGGCCTAGTTGGCAAGCATGAAGTTAATTTGGCACAGAATTTGGGAGTGTGGTTTTGGGGGCCAGAGCCAAAGCTCCAAAAAAAACAAAAAAAAACCCAACGGGTCAAAGAATTTTTAAGATCCTCAAAATTGAGGGCAAGAGGAAGAAACTCAAAAAATCCAGAAGGAAAATTAAATTATTGGAAAAATACTGTCAGATCCAGAAATAGATGACCCCTCTCCACTTCAGAGCTTTTGGCACGGTGTTGGCCATCCGGGAGTGGCCCCTGCAGGCTGGCACGAAATCTGAAAGGGGCAGGGGCAGGAGCTAAGGTCACCTGGGACAGGAGGCTGCAGATCCTGAAGGCTCAAGGGAAGCAGAGGCCCGAGGGTCATCTCCCAAAGATCACAATGTAAGCACTTGTGGCATGCTTGCAGGGAGATGTTCTCCAGATGGTGGGACCCAAACTTGAATCACTCCCCAGTGTCAGTCCCTCGGGCTGTGCTCACTGCCCAAGAAGGGGCTTTGGCACTTCCTAGAAGGGCCTTAAAGGGCCTAGGATGGCAGGCACCCAGAGGTAGCACACAGACCCAAACAGAGGAGACCCCAGACACCAGCCCAGCCCCTGGCAGTGCCCTCCAAGCTGGTACCTTCCACAGAGGAGGACAAGTCACCCTGTCCCTGGAAGGCCACAGAGACCACTTGTACTGCAGAATGGATGATGAGGTGAGGGGTGCAGGGCCCCAGAGAAGACGTTTCTCCTCTCCCAGGCCACTGGTACCCAGCACTAAGCCGGGCCAGGTGTGGGTTACCTTGTCCCTCTCCTTCTGGATGCCTGTCTCCAAGGCCACCAGCTTCTCCTGCAGTTGATCCACTGCCTTCTGCTCCTTCTGCAGCAGTGCCCGCTCTGCCTCCCTCTCTCCCTGCAGCAGTGCTCGCTCCATTTCGGCCTGGGGGCAGACACCAGGGTCCCCATCAAAGCAGATGACTGTGGCCCCTCTCTGGGGCCTTCAGTTGGCCTAGGGAAGAGTATAGCTAGGGCCTTCATGGCTCACCTCTCGGGCTGACTCCTGCAGCTGCTGCTCTAGCTCCTTCACACGGACCTTGAGCTGCTCCACGCGCCCCAGCACCTGAGCCCGCTCCTCTTCCAGGGCTAGCACCTCTCCCTGGAGCTTGGTGCTAGGTGTGTCTTCATGCTGGAGGGGAGGGAAGCTATCAACTGAGGAAGCCTAGAGCCTTTTGGAGTCAGACCAAGAAAATGGATCACCTGTTCCTCCACGCACTTGCTGAGGAATAGCTGGACTGAGACAGGAGGCTAATTCCCTGCCCCCCCACCCCTACCTTTGAGGGGAGCAATAAGGGCTCTGCTGAAGATAATAAAGATTTACCACTGAGTGCCAGGCCTGGGTGGAGCCCCATGGAAAGGCAGGTCATAAAGCATATTTATAGCTTGGGAAGCTCATCAACACCTCCCTTCTCTTCCTTGTCTCATTTCTGCACCTCTGCTCTCGAATCTCTTCCCAAACTTGATCCTTCTCCTCACTGGACCTTGGCATTCAATATACTAGCCTCTTCTGCCCCCAGCAGGTCCAACCTCAGCCTCTTTGTCTTGCCTACCCCTCCATCTCACCTCCTGCTGGGTGCTCTCAGTGCTGCTGCACTCCTCCTTGAGATTTTCCTCATCTGAGCGCTCCATACTCTCCCACAGGCGTTGGGTGGCAATTCCAGGCTCCTCGCTGCTCCGCCCAGAGGCCCCTGCAAGGCCTCGTGAGGGCCTCCGGCCTGCCAGTGCCAATGCTACGGTGGCCTCCCCAATGCTGGGGAGCTCCCCGGCCTCAGATCCCCCATCAGCCCGGCTGTATTCGGCACACAGGTTCAGGATGGTCTCCAGGCGCTGGCGTTCCTGGGGAGGATGGACAGAGCAGGACATGAAGGGGAGGAAGCTGAGCCCTGGTGGGGATAGCGCCAGGTTCAGTATCCTGTCAGGAGGGAGAGCAAGGTGGCTAGGTCATCAGTGTCAAGTCAGGAGATGCCTGACTCCAAGACCTGGGGGAGGCAGAGGGAAATAGGGTGCCCCAGAAGTGGGCAGGAAGAACCAGGCTGTTGTGCCACCTGTCCACATGGCACAACAGCCTGGTTCTTCCTGCCCACTTCTGGGGCAGCCCCTTCTGTCTTCCTGTTCCTTTCTTTTTTCAATCTACCCCAGGACAGGGCTTCCTCATGGACACAAAGGAACACACCAAACACATACGGAAACATACTGTTAAGTAGACTACAGACCACAATGAGACACAGATAAACTCGGGTGCTCGTCCTAACGCAGGTACACACAGAACTACAGACATGAGGACACACACTGACACACCAGCATTGATGCACAGGCACACCAGGACACAATATGTGCCCTGGACTTGCATTAATAAGCAGGTACAAAGACACCAGCCCTGACATGCACAAATGCACACTAATGCACACTCACAGATAAACACAGTCTAGCATACAGACAGGTGGGCACGTATGCAGACAGACAGGGCTGGAAAACAGACCCACAAGCCCACAGGGACCAGACACCCAACCACAGACACACATGGAGAAGAGGTAAACCAAGGACATGGCCCTCTGTCCCCACCTCACCTCCAAGTTACCTTCAGGCAGCCCTTGGCTGTTTATCAGCAGGATGGGCTGCTACCAGTCCTTGAATGCCCAGGCCCATGAGTGAGTACTCCCATGGCCCTACCACTTCATCCACCCCTCTCCACATACACACCCACCCAGATACAGTCACCTCTCAGGGGCCTAGGAAGTAAAGGAGGGATGATACAATCGCATTCCTGGTCTTTGTCGCCTTCTCCTGCAGGCCTATCTATAGGCCTGAAGCCTGGCTTGTGAGGCTCCCATGGCTCTCTAGGGTCCCTAGATCTCCTCAAGTGTCTCTCACCACTTACAGTTTGGCCATGAACCCAAACCGCAGGAAGTGGAGAGAAGGCTGGAGAGGCATTCTCATACACTTACCCAGCTTCCCTCCTGTTGCTTGCCCAGTTCCATGGCAAAAAAAAAAAAAAAAGGAACAGAGCCTCGGCACCTGGGAGGCTGGGCCAGTGCCTCCGCCCCTGCCCCAGGACCCAGATAAGCAGCCTGGTTGCGGTGGGAGGGGCAGGGCGGGCAGCCTCCAAGACTTAAAGTGGCAGGTGAGGCAGGTCAGGACTAGTGGTAAGATGTGTGCTTATGTGTGGGAATAGGGTTGGGGAGACTGATGGAATTGGGGAAGACTGTGCCTGCCACTCTGCCTGTGCCAGGCTTACTGCCCCTTCTCCAGGATGAGACCCCAGCTTAGAATGGCCATGCATTCCCATCTAGACCAATGCAAAAACAGTGAAGAGAAGATGCAGCAGGCCGGGCGCGGTGGCTCAAGCCTGTAATCCCAGCACTTTGGGAGGCCGAGACGGGCGGATCACGAGGTCAGGAGATCGAGACCATCCTGGCCAACACGGTGAAACCCCGTCTCTACTAAAAAAATACAAAAAGACTAGCCAGGCGTGGTGGCGGGCGCCTGTAGTCCCAGCTACTCAGGAGGCTGAGGCAGGAGAATGGTGTAAACCCGGGAGGCGGAGCTTGCAGTGAGCTGAGATCTGGCCACTGCACTCCAGCCTGGGTGACAGAGCGAGACTCCGTCTCAAAAAAAAAAAAAAAAAAAAGAGAAGATGCAGCAAAGGAAAAGACGGAATCTGCCTCATCTCACCCCCATCCAACACAAACACACAATCCTATACCCTCATCCAAAACTGTCCCAACCTCTTCCAAAAGCATCTCCAGATGCTTCAGTTCTGGTTCTCATCAGTTCTGATTCTCCTCCTCAAACCAGTCCCAGGGTTCCTGCTCACCTCCCAAAGAACCCTGTTCTGCTTGCAAGGACAGAGGGCAGAATCCATTCTTCTGTACATGGGCTCGACTGTGTACACACCAGCCAGAGCCCCTTAAGCTCCCTGAGTTATCTGGGGAATCCTGGCCCCGACCCAGCTCAGATGCCATCTCCAGGACAGCTGCCTAGAGCCACACCCGGCCCCTGCACACACCCACACGCATGCACACGGACACACACAGTCACAATTACAGAGGCTGGCTAACGGTCAGGCCAGGGTTGCCTATCCTGCTCTGTCCTTCTTCCCTGCCACCCACACTCCTAGATGATACTGCCTGGGCCAGGGTGAGCAGCTCCCACCCACTTGTAGACGCCAAAGAGAAGCAAAAAAGGACAAGGTACTTTTCTAAAAAAAAGTCTTAGAGTCAGGAGACTTGGGTTCCAATTCCAGCTCTGCCAGAACTTGCTGTGTGACCTTGGACAAAGCCATTCCCCTCTCTGAGCTTCAGCCTACTCAACCTACTTCAACTTGCTTCTCAAACTGGGAGGTTCAAGGTCTTACCATACCTGTGGTATGTTTTCCTAGAGCTTCACTGTGCTTGAGTAAACAATGTGAAATTTAATTTATACATTAAAACAAATGCTATGTTGAATAAATGCAAAATTAGCACGAATTTAAAATAAAGCCTTAGAAATTTCAAAAGAATTTCTTCTTCAGGGCACCAGAACCATAAGATATTGATCACTAAAGTGTATCCTGGAGGTGGGGAACCTTGAGAAGCCCAAGCCCTGTTTGAGGGCCCCTCCCGCTCTGCCAGCTGGCCTGCTCGAGCCCTGGCAGAGACTCTGCCATGGACAGTGGCAAGCCTCCCTGGCACCTGCTCACCAGCCTCTCCATCTCCTGCTCCCGGAGCCGCTCTTGGCGCTGTCGCCGGTGGTACTCCAGGAGGTCGTCCTCATTGTCACTGATCTCTGTGATGCTATTTTTCCGCTCCCTTGTGACAGGCACCCGCAAGTCCCCGCTGGAGAGCTTCCTCTGGACACAGGGACTTTGGCAGGGTGAAGCCCCAGTAAGAGAGCCCAGACTGTAGGCTGGGCTCAGCCTGCCACTGAAGCTGCCCTTGCGGGGTGCCAGAGACTCACCCAGTGTGGGTGAGGGGCTCCGTGTCCTACGGCCCCGTGCCCCCAGCGTCAGGGAGAAGTCCTCTGGTGAAGCCCCATGGGCTGCCCAGCGCCGGGACCGAGGACTCTCTGCCACTTCCCTGCTTAGCTTGGGATCTGGGGTGGTCCGGGTGGGCAGTGGGGAGAGGGCTCGCCGGGACAGAGATGGACTTAAGGGGGGTAGTTCTCGCATACTGTCCAGGCCCCGCCGGCCCAGGCGGGGACTCTCAGGAGGCTGCAGGGTACGGGTGGCTAACCCATCTGAAAATGTTCGGCCCACCAGTTGGCGTGAGGGGCTAGTTGTTAGCACCCGCTCACTGCCTGGAGGCTCACGGAAAGGGCTGGGAGGGCGGTCCTGGAGTGTGCCAATCTTGTTTCGGGGAGCAGGGACTGGAGGCTGGAACTTAGGGCTGCCAGGAATGCTGGTGGGTTGACTGAGAGCACCAGAAGCTGGGTATTCACTCAGGCTGATGGCCACCACAGGCAGCTGCCCACCCAGCCGGGGGCTCTCAGTGGCTCTCCGGGCCTCCGCCAACACAGTAGCTGCAGGGCTGTCTGTTAGCAGACCCCGGAGGCCAGGGCTGGGAGGCCTCTCATGGCCCCCTTTCCTGCTCAGCCGAGGACTCTCAGAGCGAGCACCACTTGGGCGGGACTGTGGGGGCTGCAGGGCCAGATGGTAGCTGGAGGAACGGGCAGGTACCAGTGGGGGCACAGAAGGTCCTGGCTCTTGCCCACTGGGTGAGTGACTGGCACAGCTTCCACTGCTGGCTGGTGAAGAGAGTGGAGAGAAGGCTGGAGAGGTGTTCTCATAGCTGGAGCCCACAGACATGGCACCAGGGCTGGTTGGGGGAGACAGCAGGTAGCGCCCACCATTAGCCATTGGCGACAGTGGAGAGGTTGTGGCAGGCTTCTTGCCAGCAGCTCCAGGCTCCTCTAGCACCAGTGAGTCCATGATCTCTTGCAGGTCCTTCTCAATAGAGCTCACCAGGGAACTGTGGCTGGCACAGGCCGAGGGTCCCCGTGTTGCAGGCTGTGGGGTGTGGTTCCCATTTACCAGACTTTCTGATTCTGCTGGAGGGAAATGCAAAGGTCTTTGACTTTGGGGAGCTGCATATGCATAAGAGCCAGGGCACTAGCCTACTTCCTCCTAGCACAGTGAGACTAACAGAGCTCTGGAGAAGAAGCCAGGAGATCTGGTTCTGGTACCACCTAGCTCTGCCACTGACCTGCTATGCAACCTTAGTCAAGTCACTTGTCTTCAGTTTCTCCTTCTGTAAAGGAAGGGAATTGGCAGGGCCTTCCTGCCTGTGACTTAAAACAGTTAACAGTGATAGGCACTCTAAGCCTATTGTTGTCAATTCACCCCAAGACTAGACTCCTCCAATCTATATCCTATATCCCTCCTCAAGAAGGGCAGGTAATCCAGGCACAGTGGCTCACACCTGTAATCCCAACACTTGGGGAGGCCGAGGTGGGCAGATCACTTGAGGACAGGAGTTCAAGACCAGCCTGGCCAACATGGTGAAACCCCACCTCTACTAAAAATACAAAAAATTAGCTGGCTATGGTAGCACACGTCTGTAATTCCAACTACTCAGGAGGCTGAGGTACGAGAATCACTTGAACCCAGGAGGTTGCATTGAGCTGAGATCACTCCTGCCTCCTGGGTGACACAGCAAACTGTCTCAAAAAAAAAAAAAAAAAAAAAGAAGAGGCCAGGCATGGTGGCTCACACCTGTAATCCCAGCACTTTGGAAGGCCGAGATGGGCAGATCACGAGGTCAGGAGATCGAGACCATCCTGGCTAACATGGTGAAACGCCGTCTCTACTAAAACATACAAAAAACTAGCCGGGCGAGGGGGCGGGCGCCTGTAGTCCCAGCTACGCGGGAGACTGAGGCAGGAGAATGGCGTGAACCTGAGAGGCAGAGCTTGCAGTGAGCTGAGATCCGGCCACTGCGCTCTAGCCTGGGTGACAAAGCGAGACTCCGTCTCAAAAAAAAAAAAAAAAAAGAAAAGAAAAAAGAAGGGCATTATAAAAAGAAGATGGGCACCTGCTGCAGAGCTGGCCAGAAGTTCCAGGGGCTCCTAGTCTAATAGTACGTCAGGGCCTCCCACCATAGGAACCAGAGGCCCAGGATTAAAAAAAAAAAAAAAAAGAAAAAGAAAAAGCCTCCAGGGCTGGGCAAAGGGTGTGTCTTCATCCAATCAGAGGTAGGGGAGGGAGCTGGTGCTAATGGCTGGTTCCTGGAAGCCAGGCTGCCAGCAAAGAGGTGAAGCTCAGTGCCTCCAATTATCCCATTAAGCCATGCCAGCAAGAGCCTGCTTTTGCCATGCCTCAGCCCTAGTCAACCATACAGGAGTCCCTGGAACCACTGCCCCAAACAGCTAAGGGAGTGACATGACAAAGCTGGGGTGAGGGCAGGGTAAAATTAACTAGGGAGTAGACTGGGAAACCAGGCTTCTGAGCCCCCAGAGGACTGGAAAAGATTGAGGGTGGGGAGAAGAGAAGAGAAAGACTTTGCAACACTGAGTCTGGGTCCAAAATTATGGGGACTGTGTGGGATATAGTCAGAGGGGTTGCCATGGATACTGGTAATCCCAGTGACCACTCACCTTTCTTCAGGTCCCCAGGCTATCCACTTAGGCTGCTGATACCACCCCTCTAGGTGTACCTGACATCCATGTCCATCTGCCCCAGCACCTGTCACCCCATAGCCATCTAAATGCCAGCGCAAAGTCTGAGATGGTAGACCCAATAATAGCCTCCTGGTCTGCACCCCATCCCCTATGCAGCTGGGCTGAGGGGGCCTGTGTTGGTTCCCCAGAACAATCACCAATTCTTTTCTGGGGATCAATAATTCACACACAAAATACAGCTGCTCCACTGAGTCATCAGCGGGCAGGGCATAGAGTGAGGGTTGGGCGAGGCCCAAGGACATGATCCCCACCACAGCTTACAGGGAGTTCAAACTAATGCTTCCTTCTGCCCCTCAGGACACCCTAGAGGGTGAGGCTCCCTGTGGTGACACAAGTGGGCCAGAGTTCCAGACACTGAGTGGCAACCTCCAGGGCAGTGGGGTACAAGCTGGCAGAGCCCGCCATCCCTTAAGACACATAATTTCCCAGTTTTACCTAAGCAGCACTGCCTTGGTTAGCTCTCGGTGGTCCCACTGCCTGGCATTCTCCACCAGCCCATGGCCGGTGGCAGTGAGCCCAGACCTTAGGTATTGTCTTGCCCTAACACTCCAAGTGTGGCTGAAATGAGCAAGGAGGACTGCTGAAGGAACACCACCAACCCAGCCCCCTGCGCCCCCCTACTTTGGTACCTACCAGGAACAGGGCTGTAGGGGGGCCCAGGGGCTCGGCCCCCTGCTGGAATCATGCTTTTCATCCACTTGGCTTCAGCCGGGTGGTTAAAGCGAAGGAAGGTGGACTGACCCAGGCACAACATGCAGCCTGCAGAGAAAGCAAACACTTGAATACCGGGTGTGGTGGCTCACACCTGTAATCCCAACACTTTCAGAGGCAGAGGCAAGTGGATCACCTGAGGTCAGGAGTTCGAGACCAGCCTGGCCAATGTGGTGAAATCCCATCTCTACTAAAGATACAAAAAATACAAAAATTAGCCAGGTGTGGTGGTGGGTGCCTGTAGTCTCAGCTACTCAGGAGGCTTAGGCCAGAGAATTGCTTGAACCCAGGAGGCAGAGGCTGCAGTGAGCCGAGATCACGCCACTGCACTCCAGCCTGGGTGACAGAGCAAAACTCCGTCACACACAGACACACACACACACACACAAAAATGTTCAGCGAACACCGACACCCCTGTCCCCCAACCCCAACCTGTATGCATGATCCATCTATCTGCCCCTTGGGGAGAAGGGTAGAAGAGTCAGTCTGAGAGGCAGCAACTTCCAGGGTCACACAAAAAAGCTCTGAGATAGGGAACAAGGGGAGAAACCATAGATCAGTCCGATGACCTGGGGGAGTCCTGAATTTGCTCCCACTCTTTATTGTTTTGTGACCTTAGGAGAGCTGTGTGCTGCAAGTCTAGGGAGCGATCACCACCTTTCTTTCTGACTAAGCACCTTCTGCATGCTCCCTGGTCTCCCCTGGCATCAGGCCAAGACTAGGCCACTGGGCCCGGCCTCAGCCAAGCACATTCCCGGGCAGTAGACACAAGCCCAGTCCTGCCCAGGAAGTGTGAGCACCTGGAGGGGGAGGGCATGTGGGAGCTGGAAAATGTAGCCAGGGGCACCAGGAGTGTGCACAGTGGCAGGTGTGCCCACAGGCATCTAAGTGTAGCTGGCAGAACTCCACCTCCCAGCCACACCAGGTGCTGGCGGGCTCCCGCAGAAGATACTATATTGGGAGAAGCCAGAGCCCTGTTGCTTTCTACCACCAATCCTTCCAATTTGTCCACACCCCTGGCCCCCGGTCTCAGCCTCCTGTCTACCCAATCTGGTGCCACTTGGCACCCCAAGCTTCACGTCAGTCTAAGACTGGCAGAGGAGTCTACATTCCTGGACGCTGAGACAGTTCAGCTCAGGCAGGCCACAAGGGCAAGGGGCATCCCAGGCCACGTGGGTACCTTGGCAGGTCCCTAACTAAGAAGCTCAGGAGCCTGTTCCTGGGATCCTGGGCATTGCTTGAGTTGGGGGTTTAGTAGGCTGAGAAGCCCATGGCAGATAACCATAGTGGATAAAGCCACTCACTATCCTGGCATACACAAAGGCCCTACCAGGTAGCCAGACACCAACAATTCTAAAGGATAGAGAGGGAGCCTTCCCTGCCAAGTCACCAGTCAGAGAAGAGGATCCCACAGTATTCATAACTGGAATAAATGATAGCCAACCACACTGTCCACATAATTACAACCACAGCTGTTTCAAAAAGAGCCCTGTCAAGCCCCTCCCCCTCCTTTTAGCCATTTAACAAGCTTATTAGTGATGAGTTCACAGGGTCTAGACAGACCCACTCAACCCAGGGTTATGGGTGGTGGGGATCAAGAGCCTGACCACACAATCGAGGCCGGGAAGGAGGTGGGGAGTCTGAGTGGATTCCAGTCCAGCAGTGCCAGGCCCACCCAAGTAGGATGTAGGCATCTAGGGATCCTTCGGTTGGGCCCCTATAGCTGTGTGTTTTCTGCCCCCTCCTCAGCCCTTCACCCTCCCCCACATAAGGGGGTGTGGCCGTGCTGCCTCTGGGCTATAAATAGTGATGCCAGGCACCAGAGCTGGATCCGTATTAATAGAGCAGGCAGGAGGGCAGCAGGACTGAGAGCAACCCAGCTCCTGCCCAAATTAACTTTCTATTTGCATGCAGAAGCTTCAGGCATTGCCCCAGTGCTGGCCCCTACAGCCCCTAGGGGTCTGGCCGGCCTGTTTCTGGGAAGAAGCCTCCTCTCTGCCCACTCCCACCCCACACCCCCAAAGGCCAGCCCTTTCAGGGAGCCCAGGAACCCCTGCCCATCCTGCCAAAGTCATGGTCAGTGTCCCCCATGCCCAGAGGGGATCAGGGTCCAGCTGTGTGCAGGTGGGTGGAGGAGCTGCACATCTGGAGGGGAAAAACTAGGCGAAGGAGAGGGTGAATCCTATCTGTGAGAGATGCAGAGGAGAAACACCAACACAAACAGGCTCACACTCATACACACTCATAGTAACACAACAGACTCATGGGCGTACATGCTCACACACTCTCAGAGCTACTGTCACTGCCCTCCTGGTCACACAAATAGAGTGGACTGGCCAAAGGGAGACCGAGTGAAGGGAATATGGGAGGAAGGGCCTTGGTCCTTCCTATCAGAGACCCTCCTTGGCCATAAGGTAGACTCCCCTCATTCTGACCAAGACCCTTTAACCTCATCTGAGGGAGGTAAGTCCTAAGGAGGGGACTGCCGGAGCGCTGGGGAAGATAAGGTCTACCGACTGAGAAGTGCCCCCAAGCCCAGAATCCCCATTTAGAAATGTTCAGGGAACACACACAATCGAGTCTCTCCGCCTCAAGCTCCCAAAGAAGGTCAGAGGACCCCATGCCCCTCCTCCCGCCCACCCTCCTCAAGACGCCCCTCCCAGCCCGAGCTTCTCCAAGCTTGGCGGCTTGGGGTCTGTGGCTGGCCCGGGGCTGAGGACTCACCGCCGAAACCGGACCTCCGGACCGCTCGCCCCCGCTAGCTCGGGTCCTCCAGGTCCCAGGCCCGCCCGGGGCCTTTGAGGGGGCGGGCCGACCTCCCGAGCCGCCGGCTCCAGGCTCGGAGCGAGCAGCGAGGCAGCGAGCAGCCGCCAATGCCCGGGGAGGGGCGGGCCGGCCACCAGCGGCGGGGGAAGGGAGCCAGGGAGGGAGGGACAAAGGAGAGGAGGAGGGGAAGAGGAAGTGATGGAGGAGACGAGTGGAGAGCTGGATGGAGAGGGCGGGGCGGGAGGATGCAGAAAGGCAGCCGGCTTGGGATCCTGGACCCGGGGCAGGAAGAAAAGTGGGCGGGAAGGAAAGGTTCAAGGGAGGTGACTGAGTGAAGGAAAGGTGAGAGGTAAGTACAGAGGCCAGAGAGTGAAGAGCCAGGAGCCAGGAGTGAGGCCAAGTAAAAGACAGGGTCTCATTCCCAGCCCCCTGTGGTAAGAGGTCAGCGGTAGCCGGGCTGGCTGGCTCTAACTGGCTGTAGTACCTTGGGCCAGTCACACCCTCTGGCCTTGGCTTCCTTATCTACCGAAAGTCAGCTCTGACATTCCATGTCCATATCTGAGGGAGAGAAGGAGAGGAAAGCAGGGGCTCTACAGGTCCAGCTAGGTCACTAGGTCCTGCTCTGGCCCTTAGGCTGTCACTGTAACAAGGTCACCCTGGGCTAGGAGTTCAGGCCAAAGCAGTGCTCTGTACAATGCAAGCACTCAGCCCACCTCCTGTCTCCACCCTAAACACCTCCTCTTCCGGCCCCACTCCCGGTAGTCCAACCCATGACCCAGAGTGGACCAAGGCACTGCCCTTTCCAGCCAGCCAACTTCCTGGGCCCTTGGAAGCCAGCCCGCACCCCAGCCACAGCCTCCAGTTGTGCTATACCCAGCAAAGAGCCCTCCGACCCCAATAAGGTACCCATCCTACTTGGGAAACATATCTGGAGCCCCCAAAGTCAGGCTGAGATTCTGAGTCAGGCAGGTGTTTTGTTTTGTTTTGTTCTGTTTTTTTGAGACGGAGTTTTGTTCTTGTTGCCCAGGCTGGAGTGCAATGGCGCAATCTCGGCTCACTGCAACCTCCACCTCCCGGGTTCCAGCGATTTCTCCTGCCTCAGCCTCCCATAGCTGGGACTACAGGCATGCGCCACCACACCCAGCAAATTTTGTATTTTTAGTAGAGACGGGGTTTAAAACCATGTTGGTCAGGCTGGTCTCGAACTCCCGATCTCAGGTGATCCGCCCGCCTCAGCCTCCCAAAGTGTTGGGATTACAGGCATGAGCCACCGCACCCAGCCCAGGCAGGTATTAATACCTACCATCCAGCCAGGTCCCCCAGTTCCTCTTGTTCCAGGGACCTGGCCCCTGCACACCAGAGCTTTACGGGACACAATGTTGTATGCTCTCAGCAGGCAGCTCACACAGCCTGACACAGTGTCTCTCAGATACACACCAACACTTGCTCAGTCACGCTGACACTACTTCATCTCTGCATGCTCTGAGTCACACAGACACCCTCATTAAACACACTGTCTCTCACACACCTTTATTCTCATGCACACATCCCCCAGACAACTCCTTTTAGTTACACACTCACCCAGGCATAGCTTTCCTTTCACTCAGTCCCTGGAGAAACTCTGAAATAAAATCAACCTCTTAGATGAATAATCAGGCAAGTTTTCCATTCTTGCTGAACAGCCCACTAGCTCACTCACCCATGCTGCCAACTATGTGCATACACATGCACACGTTCACGTGTGCACACGTATCTTATTCCCTTCTGAGGAAAAAGGAAGAACCATATAGGGTCAAATGCAAAATGAAGGGAGGCTTAAAAAAAAATCTCCTCAGGAAGAGTGATTCATCGGTCTGGAAACTGTGATGGCCAGCTGGATAGACCTAGGCAGACACAGAGGATGCCCGCCAATGAGAAATAGGGCAGGAGGCAGACACAAAGAAGTGGGAAGCTGGGAGCCTTCGCTCTGCCCTCTTTCCTTTGAGCTTTATTAGTCAAGATTGTTATCAGTCTCATAACAGAAAAAGGTTGAAGGCTTCACTCCCAATTTACAGATGGAATAACTGGGTGGGAAAAAAAGAGTTTCAATATCCTGGATCCCAGAGAGAGGCAGCTGGATAACGCAGAGATCCGGCTCCCCAGCCACACTCCTCTGCCGGCCCCCACATAAGCCCCTACCCACCAATGAGAGGCTTAGGGAATGAAGGAGACTGGAGACCAGTGCTCGGAGGAAATGCTAGGAGTAGATGGGGACCTACTGTCTAGACAGCCTGGGCCCTGAGCTGGTGGCTTTCTGGGTCCTCCCCTGCTTGGTTCCCTCCCAGATCTTTCATGTGGTCTGGCGCTGTGGTCTCAGGGTGGGGCAGCCTAGACCCAGATTGAGATTCCTCCTCATTCCCTTGGTCCTATTCCGAGCTCCACCCCTTGCTCTGTAGAGAAGAGGGCAATGTGGGATGTGCCAGGATGCCTGGGTACAGGGGGTGGAATCAGGACCTTCCTGGCTCCCTCACTTCATGCTCCTATGTTCACAGCTCTGTGCTAAAGGTTGGCATCTGTTTTCTGCCCGCCTCCCCCCTTCCCTGGCCCAAGCATATTCCTGCTGGAAGAGCCTGTCACTGCCATCTCTGCTTGTCATGAAGTGTGTCTCTCCAAGTTGCCTATGGCTGGGCACAGTGCCCAGAATGATGCATCTAAGGCCAAAGTAGGCTCCTTGTTATTCCCAGGGTAGCCCTTGTTTTTCAAAGAGGAGGGTCGCCTCTACAAGGCCAGATTAGGGGAACAAGGAAGGGAAAATGATCCTCTTGTATATATGCCAACAGATAGGCATATGACCAGTGAGGTCTCATATACACATAGGAGTACATACACAGACATTATGGTACCATCAGTCCTGAGTTCACCCCTACCGCCCACTTGAACACACTGATCCATAAATACAAAGAAAGACACAAACACAGAGATTCGTAAGCCCAGAGTCACAAACACATCCGGAGCTACATAAACACACTCCAGTTACACAGACACACAGAGATAGCACATGCACCCCCGAACCACCCAGTTTCCAGGGAAACACACTCCCAAGAATGTCCGGAGTGGGGCCAGGCAGGGCTGGGCTTGGTGCCTTGCTCCAGAGATGAGACAAGGAAACCCTCAGCTCCTGGAGCCCAGGGGAGGGGGAGGACTGGGGAGAAGAACACCCATTCCTTTGTGCCTCTGCCTACCCCTCCATAGGCTGCCAAGCTTTGGAGACAGGCAAGCCCAGACAAGAAGGCTATGGGGGATGGGGAGAGAAAATGGGAAGGGGTTTAGGGTCAAAGAGAGTGGGAGGGTACATACTTGGCTGGGTAGGCTTCTGGCTGGAGAAGAGTCGGGAGGGGTCACTGGGGCCACAGGAAATGCCTCAGAATTCCATCTTGGCCCCAGGCTCTCCCTCTTCTCAGGGAGCTAAATGATGCACCGGAAAGAATGAACAACACAAGCATACCCTGCTCGCAACATGCAGGGGAACAACGTTCTTACCGAGGAATGTGATGGGTTTGGGGCAGGGGTAGTAAGTGCTGAGCCTTCTTTGAATTTTGTCCTGCCTCTCCTTGCTGCTCTACTGTCTCATCTCCATGCTCCCAAATCTTAGAGAAGATGCTGTCTCTGAGACTGAACAGGACTGTTAGGAACCTGCTGCCATCATAGCCAAGCTCCAATTTTGGGGGATTCCTTCTCTCATCCAAAGTCAGAGACCGTGAAGTCCTGGAGAAGGCAAGGGCCTGCATGCTGCTACTGGTGGACCTGCCTCCCTGAAGTCAATTTTTGCATGCCCTGCCCCCTACCCGAGGGCAGGAAGAAAAGACTGGGGTTAAAAAAAAAAAAAAAAAAATTAGCCGGGTGTGGTGGCAGATGCCTAATCCCAGCTACTTGGGAGGCTGAGGCAGGAGAATCACTTGAGCCTAGGAGGTGGAGGTTGTAGTTAGCCGAGATCGTGCCACTGCACTCCAGCCTGGGCAACAGTGTGAGACTCATATCAAAAAAAAAAAAAAAGATGGGGGAAAGGTCAGGTCTCCTGAATCAGCTGTGAAGGAAGTGACATTGAAAGGCCTTAAGGAGGATGAAGAGGAGAGAAGGAGACAGTGGAGTGAGTAGGATGGCCACTTCCAAGGGGCTTCTAGGCAGTAAGAGCCCCCAGAAAACAATGCTAGGCCATCAGAACCTGCTCAGAGCCAGGCTTAGCCCAAAGTTCCTGTCCTCCTGTTAGCCTTTAACCTCACCTCTAACCTCCACCCAAATCTGTTTTTCTCATTCTCCTAATCTGACAACTCACTGTATTAACTGATGCCCAGAACCCTGTTTCCAGGGTGAGCACACCTGGTCTGTCGAAGTGCCACCTGGGCCAACCGCTTACCTGCCTGCTAACCATAGTAATCAGGGGCCTAGATTTTATTTATTTATTTATTTATTTATTTATTTATTTATTGAGACGGAGTCTTGCTCTGTTGCCCAGGCTGGGGTGCAGTGGCGCCATCTCATCTCACTACAACCTCTACCTCCCAGGTTCAAGCTATTCTCCTATCTCAGCTTCCCGAGTAGCTAGGACTATAGGTGCGCGCCACCACACGTGTCTAATTTTTGTATTTTGGGTAGAGACAGGGTTTCACCATGTTGGCCAGGCTGATCTTGAACTCCTGTCCTCAAGTGATCCACCCGCCTTGGCCTCCCAAATTGCTGGGATTACAGGCGTGAGCCATCATGCCCAGCCAGGGGCCTAGTTTTTAGAGCCACCTCACACAACAGAATGGCCTACTGCTTTGGGTTATATTCGTGACCCAAAAGCTACTGTCAGCAGTCTCATAACAGGAGCAGGCATGTCCTCAGATTTCACCCTTGCCCTATCCCCATCAGGAAGTATTGTCCTCCTCTTCAGCTTCTCAAAACAACTTCCTCTTGGCATCATGGAACAATGCCATTGATACCCTCTCACTGCTGCTCCAATTGCTCTTCCCCAACAACCACTAACAATCCCATCATGCCCCAGGCCCTCTGATGGCGGGAATCAGAACCTCTTCTCTCCCTATAGTATGTGGAGGCAGGTTGGGGGTGACCAGAGAAGAAAAGCAGGTTGAAAACGTGTCTGGATGCTGAGACGGTTTAGTATGTTGTTTAGGCACATCCAGATGCACCTGAGTACTCCATTCCCAGTATGGGCACTCAGGCAGTTGCCATGGCAACCACTACAGCCAGTCTCCCCTGTGCCTAACACATACAAGCCTTTAAACAGAGGCCCCCTCCATCTGGAGGTGTCCAGCCTTACCCTGAGTGAGCCGGGTAGGCTGCCGGACAGGGAGACCATCAATAGTGCAGGCATTGCCACAGGGGTAGAGGGTGAGGGTGCCCCGCAGGTTCTCGATGTAGCAGTGCTCTGGAGCCAGGCCTGGGCCCTGTAGTGAGATGTCTCTGGCTGCAGAGCCAATCACCGTCCTCCCTGGAGACAAGAGGCAAACTGAATCAGAAGGGTTGTCCAGGCTGAGGAGGCAGTGACAGGGCAAGGAGGGCCACAGTGGAAACATATTCCACCTCCTACTCCAGGGAGAATCTCTGCCCACCATTGGCCACCTCTACTGGGCCCCTGAGCCTGGTCTATACAGTAAGTGATAGAAGCTCTTCTCAGAGAAAACTCTGCCTGAGAATGGGAGGCCCAGAGATGGGAAGACCCAGACTCCACAGATGGAGAAGGAAGATTGCTTTTCTGCAGATCCTCCCTTATTCCCCCAACTGCCTCTCCCTATTGTCCTTTTTCTTTTTCCCTTTCAGCCTACTCCTCCTTTCTTCTAAATCTCCCTTTCTCTCCTTCTTCTCTCCCCCACTTCTGCTACCTGCAACACTTCATCTCCCTCGCTAACCTCTCTGTTCAGTGCAACCTCTCTTCAGTGCAGGCTCTCCCCTAACTGCAGCAAGAACAGCCCCTCCCACTGACAGAGCCCCTGGGACTGGTATTTGGAGAATGTGGAGAATGTAGTATCACCCAGGCAACAAGTGCAGCCAGGAGAGGAGAGAGGGCGGGCAGAAGCTGAAAGGTGAAGGGGGCCGTGCCAGGGCCTTATCTTGGGAGATCTTGCCCCCAACTCCCATCTCTCCATTCTCTACCTACGGTATAGCCTCCTGTGCAAGCCAATGCCCTGGAATGGGGCCTTTTTTCTTCTTGGCCACATTGGTTGCTAAGAGCAATGTGTTCCCCTGTTTCTCTCAGTGCTCTCTTCATGGTTTCTTTTCTTCTTCTTTTTTTTTTTTTTTTTTTTTTTTGTGATGGAGTCTCGCTCTGTTGCCCAGGCTGGAGTGCAATGGCACGATCTCGGCTCACTGCAACCTCCGTCTCCTGGCTTCAAGTGATTCTTCTGCCTCAGCCTGCTAAGTAGCTGGGACTACAGGCCCGTGCCACCACCAGCTAATTTTTGTATTTTTAGTGGAGATGGGATTTCACCATATTGGCCAGGCTGGTCTAGAACTCCTGACCTCGTGATCCGCCCACCTCAGCCTCCCAAAGTGCTGGGATAACAGGCGTGAGCCACCACACCCGGCCTCTCCTCCTTGTTTCTAAGCTGATCTTTAAGCCCACTCATGGAACCAGATTATGTACCAAGGAAGGCAGGCAGTCTGGGGAGGCAGAGAGAAGGGAAGCAAGCTGGTGGGGTGGGGAGGCAAGCATTGCCAGCAGACAGTAGAAGGGCCCCAACACATGCAGGAGCTGGGCCTCCAGGGCAGGAATGCCTACAAGGATAGAGGGGTGACGAGTGAGATGCCCTGTTCACACTTACCTTCCTCCAGCGGCAGGAGGGTGATGGCTGTGCTGAGTCGCCCACTGCCCAGGCTCACCAGGTGGGGTTTGTCCGTTTGCACTTTCAGCCCTTTGCCTGTCTCGATCAGGTCCAAGGGTCCTTTCTGTAGGTAGTAGGGGTGGAGGACAAGCATCATTAGACTCAGCACCTTACCACCCTAAACCAGTCACACCAGTACTCTCTCCAGCCCTTGCACCTCTCCAAAGGGCTCTGAGGGTGCTGAAAGGCTTAGCACAAAATCTTACACAGAGCATTATTCCACTACATTGTAATTAGATCTGAATCTAGGCCACTAACTCGTCCCACTGGATTTATCTCAAGTCTTGGCTTAACTGTCCCTTTTGTCTATTAAAACAGAAGCAAGGAGAAAGCGGTGGGGGGTGGGGGTGGCATTGGATAAGCAGCAGGGGTACTGTAGAGGAAGGCCAGTCGAGCTCCCTGCAGACTTGTCCATGGCTACCCACTTGGCCATTGCTTGCCCCTGCTAATCTCAAGTACAGGGAAGGTAGAGGCATGGATCAAGGAGAGTGATACAGCCTAAGGTCAATCTGTAAACTGCTTTCTGACTTTCGACGGGTACTTTCTGGGTGAACCAATTAACCTGATTCAGATAAAGACTGAGCTGTTAATAGGCTTGGGACCTGGGGAAGGGCAGAGAGGAACAGAATTGCTCCTTTCATCCTTGGGCTGGGACCACAAGGGGGTAGAAGAGCTGATCCCATCCCCACCATATCTCTCTTGCCTCACAGCCCTGATCCCACTCACCTGCACCATGGTCTGGGTCTTGCATCCAGGGCCTATTTGGTTCCTGTTGAGAGTGTCCATGGTCCTAAGGCTCCAGAGCTCCTAGGGACACAGCAGAAAGCTGGTGAGTGGGGAGGCCAGGGCAGAAGAGGGAAAGAAGTAGGTTCCGTGGCAGAGTTCTCAGGGCAGAGGTAGCACCAGTCACCAACATTCCCCAAATGCTCATGCTGAAGGGAAGTAGAGGCAGCTAAAGAGCTTGGGTGGGAGTTGTCTGGGAGCAGTGCCAAGTCTCCAGCCAGCCACAGCATGGATACTACACCATACCAGTCCTGTCTCTTGCCACTGTAAGCACAAACAGTCCTATAGGGCTCAATCTATACCTCTGTGCTTTCTTGCCCTATGCTACTCAGAACCCAGATTTTGACAGCTGAAGACCCTTGGCCATTGTGGAGCCTTAAGCAGGGTGGGGAAAATCTACCTTAGTGGGAGAAGCAGCAAGGAGGCCCTCCAAGGACACTGGTAGCCAGAGGGCCCCCAGGTAGGTGGCAGGGCTAAAACAGGAGCTCCCTCCTGAAATCTTTCATTCTCCTCTTCACCGTTTGTCTCTTTTCCCAGGGCTTTAGTAGGATGTTTTCTTAAAGGAGACACAAAAGAAAAACTCAGCCATTCCTGCTATCTCCAGATGTCTCAACTCCTACACCTTTTCTTCCCCAGAAAGCAACCTCAACCCAACACAATCAGTTAAAAAAAATTTTTTTTTAATTAAAAACAAAAAACTTTAGTGATAACTAATACTGGGAATATTGGGCTCTTAACTCTTGGGTTCTTAATTGGCTAGGTGCTATAGGAAGCTTAGACCATTAGAACCAGGAGTAAGACAGATTCCAGAGCCAGAACTTGAATCCTCCCCACCACCACCCCACTGCCTCTCACCTACCACCCATCCCTCTCTCCCTGGCTCATGCTTTTGGTATCTAGGATGTGAGGACATTTGTGTACTAATGTGTGCCCCCATGCCCATCCCTTGGCCAACTAGCTAAGCTGAGAAACTTCCCACTTGCTGCTGAAATGTTACTGGGGAAAGCTAAGAGTGTGACTGAGGGGTAAGGAAGCAGACCCAGGGAAGCAGGGTTTCCCTCCACTCTCTCTTCAAGCCATCCACCAGGGGACTTGGAAAGGAAGTAGGGGCAGCAGCCAGCATTCCAAGGAGTGTCTGACCCTGGCAGTGGGTCCCGAGGACCTTAGCTATGGTGTTACTAAATTTACCCTCCCAGCTTCCACCCTTCCGGACCTGGACTGCATCATCTCCGTCACCATTTCCACCCAAGCTGGCGGAAGAGAGGCCGGAACCCAGGCTGGGGCCCACCCCAAGACTGCCAGGGAAGAGAGGAGGAAAACGCCATTAACCTATGCAAAACCCCAAGCTGGTCTGGCACGTTCCCAGAATTCCTTGCCATGGAGAAGAATTTCCAAGGACAAAGATTGCTGTACTGCTTCCTTAGACTCAGGGAAATCCCTCAGCATTTTCTGAGTGAGGAGGGGCAAGAGAGTGGGTTAGGAATGGGGAGTTTATGTAAAAGAGGGGTTAAGAAAAACAGAATAATAAATAATGGTGAAGAAGAAATATCATCCTTTGGTAGAAAGAACTTTAGACTGGGATATATAAAGCCTCAAATTCTACCCTGACTTTATTTATTTATTTATTAGTTATAAGATCCTAGACAAGTTATTTAACTTCCCTGATTGTCGAGTCATTCTTCTATAAAACTAGAGTAACAAAAAACAAAAAAAAAAAAAAAAAGACTGTTTGGATCAGTGCTTGCCTGGGGCTAGGGGTGGAATGAGAAGTGACTGTAAAAGGGCACAAGTTTGGTGGGGGTGGGGCGGGGGGAATGTTTTCAAATTAAATTGTGATGATGATTGCATGGCTCTGTAAATATACTAAAAGTCTTTGAATTGCATACTTAAATTGGGTGGATGTTATAGTATATAAATTATACCTCAATAAAGCTGTCAGTTTTTTAAAAAGGACTGTCTGAACATTCAGGTATTACATTAAATGGCATTCTATGAAAGCAAAGCACAATAAAAATGCCGTTTATTATTATTATTATTATTATTAGACGGACTTTCACTCTTGTTGCCCAGGCTGGAGTGCAGTGGCGCTATCTCGGCTCACCACAACCTCCACCTCCCGGGTTCAAGCGATTCTCCTGCCTCAGTCTCCGAGTAGCTGGGATTACAGGCGCACATCACCACGCCCAGCTAATTTTGTATTTTTAGTAGAGACGGGGTTTCTTCATGTTGGTCAGGCTAGTCTCGAACTCCCGACCTCAGGTGATCCGCCCGCCTCGGCCTTCCAAAGTGCTGGGATTACAGACGTAAGCCACCGCGCCTGGCCCCGTTTATTGTTATGAGCTGTGTGACCTGGAGCAAGGCACTTCACCTGTCTGGGCCTTAGTTTAATTCATCTGTCAGATTGGAGTATTTGTCACTATCGCCATGTGGGGCAGCTGTGGTGTGCTCATTTATTTACACCGAAGAATTTCAAGTGGAAATAAAGATTGTAAAGGAGTAAGTCCGAAGGAGAACCAGAGTGATTAGAGGAGAGAAGAGAAGAGAATAAGGAGGCGAAAGTAGAGGGAGAGATAAGGAGAGAGGTGTAGGGAGAAGATAAGAAAAGATGGAGAGATTGGGAGGTACGAGGCTGTGGCCTCAGCACAGTAACCTGATCCAAGAGAAGTGGAAAGAGACACCAGGCCAACCTGCCCTGCACTCAGGCGGTGCTTTCTCCAAAGGGCGATCGCCGCAGCCGAGAGCGGCCACCTGGGGGCGCCCTCATCTTGACCCCCGCCCT